ACATATTTGCAGACCCCGATATTTATGTAAGCACACGCAGACAAGGTTTTTTCCCGTGAACAAAATATTTATATGAAATATAGTTTAAAATTAGCCAACGACCGAACGTTCAAAAACCCGTGTAACTAAACTTATCCTTGTATTGTAGTATTACACTTTATAAAATACCCATATTAGATAAACATCAATAATTCTCAAAAAAGTCAAAACATTCTTATCGCAAGAAATTGACGACGCACATCATTCTCCAATGAACTATTTCTATAGGACAGTATAGCTGGTAGCTATTATTTATCTATTTAAATTTTTGCTTTGTAAACACGGCAATTGTCGTAGAATCATTTACTAAATACTTCATGTATGTATTTTGTTACCGAACGACGGCATCGGCTACGAGTGCAAGTATTTGAATATTATTTCTTCAATAAAATATATTAGATCTATTACTTACGTAAGTACAAATTAAATATATACCTAGTAAATTAGGTAGTAAATAATAATAATAGCTCATTGATCCGATGTGAGCAGTAAAGAATTTATTATTTTTTATAATAACATAAAACATTAATGTAATTTTTGGAGTCAACTGGCCGACAATTAGTATTCATTTAGAACCATGTTTGCCTACTTAGTATTTATTTTCTGTTCAGAGATTAGCAGAGTGATATTTACTTATACTATAATTTAAACCTTTCATTATTTTTACGTGTTAACACGAAGTTGACAACATAATATTATTAAACTGCTATGGAAATAATATTAATTGTCAACGTGTAATGAGAATAATTATTGTCTCTCATTTGTGATAGGTGTAAATACAGATTTGACAAAACCTAACATTTCATAATTATTTAATAAATGGCATCAAATTTATTTTTTTATTTTTTTTATAGTTGTATAATTTATAAATTATTTGTATCTATTTATTGTTTGGAAATTGGAATTGGAATAAATATGTCTTCAAATAAAAAAATAAAACTTTGTAAAAAAAAAGACACTTGGATTTTGTACTTGAAAATTATAAAATATAATAAAACAACTATTTTTTATTCTTATAATCTATTAAAAACTATTTCTATGTATCAGTTACTTACTATAGGTACTGTACCTATCTATATTATGTTGGAATTATTGGACCACCCCCAGAAAAAAAATGAAAATACGCCACTGGGCGCAGGTGAAATAAATGTATATATGATATACATGAATATATGATAACTGATAACTATTTACCTCTCTTTTGCAGTTTTTAATCTTTCTTCTAACGTTTTGTATTTTATCCTTATTTTTTGGAGTTTGATTACATCTTTTTGAGCTAAAATACCAAGCTCAAAATGATGCTGCTGGTTTTTTAATTCTTTGATCAAAACAAAATCGTATACATATACGATATGGTCTGTTTCGATGTTGAATATTCCGGCTTCACTAGTGTGCAGTTTTTTATTTTAATAATATAGGCACTCTAAAAGTTTTATAGGTGTAGTTTAAATTTTTAATAACCATGAAAAGTAAAATATAGGTACATACAGTGAGTCATATACCTACTGTACATTACTTTGCACGTTTTTCTAACGGTTAGTTCCCAGGGTGTAGTGCCTACCCATCCAAAGTCTGATGAGTAAGAACCTAGGAAAAGTGGTATTAGGAAAAATATTATTCGGCCAAATTATGGAATTTGTTATCAATCCATATACAGCTGGTTTTTTTTGTCAGCCAAGTGGGATTCGATGAAATGGGATGAAAATGTATTATAGAAAAATTATTCAAATTAAAAAAACCTCAAATTTTGTTTACAATACCTACACTTATACACAAAAACAAATTGATCGTGCTTTGACACATCAGTTGTTGAATTCAGTATAAGTGACTACATTTCGGCCAATTTCACATTAGAGAAGAGTTCAGTAATATAACGATATTATTATAATTCAATAGACATTCTAGTATACAATTGATTGCGATTTTCGGATAACAAAATAATGTCTAATAAAAGTACTTTATGTTTATAACTTCACAAGTTGATCCATTTTTATATTACCTATACGGCTATACCGGACACTGATTAGTGATTACTAAGACCAAGTATACCTACCAATTAAAATGATATATCAATATGTTTAACGGTGTGGCGGTGTGGTGACATTTTTTCTGTGTAAAAACATAATACTTTTAAAATATTTTGAATCTTTTTGAGTTTTTTATAGTCAATTAAAATTAAAATTTCTATTTTATAAATATCGACAAAAAATTGTTTCTTAGGATCAAAAAGCTTGTCAATTTAATACAAGGTCCCTCGTAATGAATCTGTCTTGTTAGAATATGAGATGTTTATTATAAATTATTTATTTTTCAGATGTACAACAGCCAATATGTATTTAATATATTATTATAGTTCGAATAGTTTCAACTTTCAAGTATTTTTTTATAACGATAACACGGAACTCTGTATAGGCTATTTAGCTACGTTACTGTTGCAAGTGTATTTTTGTCGGTATCTTATAATTTGGCAATAATTTATAATATTAATATATTGCTTTCAGTTTAATCGTTGTATACGTCTTGTGACTTGCCACCCCATTTTAGTTATCAGAGATTGATCCACAATAACTGTCTTGCGCTGCCATTGTTTATATTTATATATTAATATAATAATTTATTATAATATATTATATTGATTATGTCGAGTTGCTGGAATAACGGACACATCCATTGTGATGGATATTCTTAATGTTTTTCTTTCGTATTTTATTGGTATTATAATATTATGTTCTTAATGCCTTACCTACGTTTTTATGTTTGTTTTAACGTCCAAACGGTAGTGTTTAATTAACCACGTTGTCTGATTTCAGTATACCTATATACCTACGTTATAGCCCCCTATAAGTTTAACGTATAGGGCACTCGCCCGAACAACACATAATTGCGTGCAAACATTATTTGCTATCCTTTGCTTATGTAAGTTTCTATACCCGATGTTCGTGAGCGAATTACTAATAAATTATTGTGTACCCTTAGAAACCGCGGAAATTATTCACATTATGCATAATTCAATTGCCAAATGTTTCATGCACGGGAACTGCGAGAAACGAGGCAAGACTGACGACTATAATAATATAATATCTGTATAGAGCCATTACCCGACTCGAACAATAATTACAAAATTTGAAATGTAATATACCACACAGGTACAGGTAATAAAAGTCAACTATGGGAAACTTCTAACATAAAACTAATCGGCGTTTAAAAAATAAAAAAGGTGGGCAAGTGGGTGTCGCTCCGCTGTACAGTAGGTTACAAGTGGGTCACTGTATAATGGATGGTATTACATTTGAATTCAATGATATTATATCATTGTATAAGAAAACGATTCTGAGCGGAGACGGTATGTCAGTCTAGGTTTACGACATATTGTATACATATCTATGGAATTAAAAAAAATTGACATATAATAGGTACCTATAATAAATTCCAAATTAATCATATCACAATATCCATTAGGTACTTATAAAGCGTTATACATAAACAACAAACCCTGATACTATCATAGATATATAATAGTGTACTTTAGAAATTTCAAGTACCCACGAATAATATTATACAATCATAACAAAATAACTAAAATAGTTATTCTAGGTTTTTTAATTTGTAATTTCGTCCAAATTTGAACTTAAAATGACTATAAAAATAAACTGTGTTTATATATTTTTTAGATTTTTTGGTTACAGAATGAACTATGTATGAGAACCTTTGTTTTAAATTTGCAATCCTTAGCTATAAAAACTGAACATTTTATAATTTATTAATTACAATTATTGATAATTTTCGAGATTTTGATAAATTTTGTCAACATTTGATCTATAAATGCTTATAAAAAAAAATTGTGCCTATGTATTTTTAATATTTTTCAATTGCTATTGTAACAATATATCAGGAGCTTTGTATTAAATGTTTACACTTTTTGGCCCAACAGATAAAACTCAACAGATCCCACAAATCAGCTTATAATAAATTGGCCAATTCATTTAAAAAGATTCTAGCCAAACATAAAACAAATGAACTCGACCAAAAATTACAATCATTATCTAGTACAGATGGTAGAAACCAAGCAAATGCTAAAATACAAAACTCCATCGTGCCCACTAAAAAATGCAGACAATACTTTAGCTATCACAGATAACGAAAAAGCAACTGTATTTCAATCTCATCTATATAATACCTTCCAACCACATAATGATATCCTTATTCCACAACACTTAGAAAATGTTGAAAGATATCTAAACTCTCCACTACCACCCGCTCGCCCTGTAAAATACTTCACACCCAATGAAGTAAAAAACATGATAATTAAGTGTTCTCGTAAGAAATCTCCAGGCTTCGATTTGATAACAGAAGAAGTCGATAAATGGTTGACAAAAAAGGCTGTAGTGCTTCTAACCTACATATATAACGCAACCATAAGACTCCCATATTCTCCACTAATCTGGAAATTTTCGCAAATAGTCATGTTTGCCAAGCCAGAAAAACCTCATTTATATTTGTTTCATAGGTACTATATTATGTAATAATAAATAAATACAACAATAATAACTACTATGATAGTAATATTAAACTAATTTAATAATAATAATAATACATTTAAACAGTTTTTTGTGGTGATACATATTTTTGATCTAAAAAACAATGAATAATTGTTGGTTTAAATATTATATTTGAATCAAACACACATTACTGCATATCTGTAAATGAAAATAAAAATAATTAATACACAAGTATAAATGATAGTTTATGATACTAATATACTATTGATGACGTACGGCAACCGCATATAATATTATAGTACGTTAAAAGCGGTTAAACGATTACAAAATATAAAACTTTAACGGAGACGTAAAAAAAATGTCGTTACCTATGTTTAACTGTTTTTTAGGTGTTACATATTATTATTATGTATGAGTACGATAATATGTGTGACCCTCTACAAATCATATTATTTTCGTCGGTCAGCTCGTGACGAGAACGCACTTCGCGTACGGCATCACTCCGTCGTACAACGAACTGGAACAACTCATCGGGATCGCTGCATCACTAACGGACATGCCCACAACGGTTCTGCACAACGACCTCAAGAAAGCGTTCAAATGTGCACTCGAGGTGTCGGTGAAATACTGAGAATCGTACATGGTCCCGCCAGTCTGTAAGTCACAAACAAATCGTTTTAATTCGGCATACAGATGCTGCAGGCTTGTAAAATGTCATATCGAAAGCACGTCTTTGTCTAGGTCGGTGGTGGCTTTCTCGGGGAATGCAGCTGCAGGGTGAACGGCGGATAAACCAGTCATTTGCGGACCTCGATTTTACCAAGTTTAATAGCATATCACGTAAAACAGATATCCCCATTAGGTGCAAATGGCACTTATATTGTTGTCTTATAAACAATTGTGTGTATAAAAAAATCTATACCTTTTTTATTCGTCATCAGTCGACTGACCTAGGACCAGCTGGTTAGATTTTGAATGCGCACACATTTTACCATACCGTTTTTGAATGCATTACATTAATTGAAACCATGCAGTTTATAACTATCACTTTTTCAAGATTTTCCTCTCTCCACCCAGCGGGGATTCCTGAAGACGCTACTCTACTGACTGCATCAATATCATATACCTACCTACGCGAGACTCGAGTTTAATTTTACTCACCTCTAACACCAAATTTGTCTCCATTGATTGGTCGTAAGTATACCCGTCGTCGCTGTATTTACCATTCGGCGATGTACTTGTATAAATCTTGTTCAAACCACTCGCTCCTGAAAAAACAACAAATTATTAGAACTAAAAATTTTTAATTTTTCTACTCTATAATCATCTAAGACTTTTAAACGTACGGACGCTACTTATTTTATGGATAAAAAAGTATAATAAATATATAATTATACACAAATACAATATCATAGTTTCGTTAATCTTTTTAAATACAAAATATAAGTGCTATAGGCGAGAATCGAGAGGGGGGCTGAGCCCCCCTCCAAAAAAAAAATATAACTTTTTTATTTTATATGAATCAAGCCTCCCCCACTCATATTGTTCCTAATAATGTTAGCCCCCCTCCCCTGAAATGTTAAAGGATTATGATAGGTTGGTAGGTCCTCACCGAAAATGCCATCGTCCGAAGCATCACTCAGATTTATGGGGGCGATCAGGTAAAACATGATACCTTGTTTCATGTACCATGATGATACGTAGTTGAACGTGTACTGAGATACCTGCAGGGCAATACACGGTACATTTTTAATCGATTATCATATTGTTTTGTTTGAGACTTGAATACTTACGCTGTAAACGGATTCTTGAGTGCTGTATAGAGATTTTGCGATGGACAAGACGACTTTAACAGCATTCGCTCTGAATGGGTATTCGGCCGAAAGTTTGTATGCTTTGTCTTTTGAATTTTTACCTGAACATAAAATAATAAGCACATTTGTGTCGGTTCGATAAAGTTTATCGTAGTATCGTACATTTACATCACTTACGAATTATGTAATATAAATTTATAATAATTGTTTCAATTTATTTAAGGGTTAACTAAAAATTAAGACTTGTTCAGAGTATGTTATTAAATATAGGGATTTGGGATGGTTAAATTGCATTAGTGAATAGTGATAGCCGAGGTATACTATTTAACTATTTGTTGCATATTTATACTAATTATACTATTATAGTATTATCCACATTTTAGCTATTATTTACGCTTTGTCGATAACAAGTTACATTTTAATATGTACTCATCTTACCCATAACTTTTCTAAACGAATGCATATGTTGAGATTCCATTATACTTGTCTCTGTTTCGGTGGTGGTCTGAGATTCTGTCCATTCCGGTAAGTTACTCAATAACTTGTTGTAACCATCTTCCTCGTTAATTGTATACATATGCACTTCAGAATCTGTACTTTTACCAGAGTATCCAATAAGAATAAATTTGACGTCACTATAATCCAGAACAAAAATAGTAACTTTAAAAATTACAATTTATTAACATTAATTTATTTGTTTGGCTTTGCTTACTAGGTATTAGTTATAAACTTATAACTTAATATAGAAAGTTGAGAAAGTGTAGGTACTAGGTAGGTACACATATTATGATGTGTTTTTAACACAGAAAATATATTAACTTATTAGATACCGGAAATAGACACACGATAGCGTACAGGAGACAGCGGTGTTCACAAATATCCTATCTAAGACGTCATATCGTAATCATGATAGTTGATAATTTTATTATTGAAACAATTAATACATACGGCGTATAAAATTCTTTTGACAAAAAATTTGAAATACCTACTACCAATATTGTTCAACTCATTATATTTCTCTGTTTTCTAATCACAACCTGTGAAATAACTATTTTACCTAATTGATACGATTACCCTGCACTTGGTATACTGTATAGTAGTAAAGTAACAACTTCTACCCAGGGCCTGGCAAGGTGGGCGCCTGCCATGGGCACAAAATATGGAGTAGGAATGGGGGCGCAAAATTTGATATAATTAAATTTGAAAATCTAGGCCGAAATTTACTATTGATTATTGAAATTAATTTTCATTCAAGGCGATAGACAATATAACTGATATCGTAAAGTAATATATTTTATTTATAACAATGTATAAATTTCTATACAAGATATATACCCAAATTTGGAAGTGGCATTACGAATTTTTTTAACAATGCCCGTTACTACAGCTACTTGAGAGAGAAGTTTTAGCAAATTAAAGCTTATAAAAAATTGACTCACCATGGATCAAGAACGTCTATAAAATTTAGCTATACTTTCAATTGAACAAGAAAATGCATCTAAGATAGACTAAACTTCAATCATCGAAGAATTTGCTTCCAAAAAAGCCAGAAAAGTTAAATTTGTTTAATAAATATATTGTACTAAATTCTATTTAATTTGAAGTATTATTTATTTTGTTTACATTTTTAATACAATTCTTGTTTATGTGGTACTTTTTTTATGAATTTGTTATTAAAGTCATACAAAAGTAGGTAATACAAATTAATTAACTTCGTTATTTTTATTTATTGATTTTTTTTTAGGGAGGGGGGCTCAAATTTTTATTTGGCCAGGAGCATCGCTATTATTGGGCCCGGTCCTGCTTCTACCACACTAGCTGTTACCTACTAACTTAAAATGTGTCTCCATGCTGTAAGTATACGTCTTAATACTTTGGTAACTCGTTACCTATAAGTTGAATGTATAATATCTCAACTCGAACTACTGCAAGATCGCACGATTCAGTGTATACTGTATAAGCACGCATAACATCTTATGTGATATAATCATATTTACTTTATTCCTTTGCTGTTAAAATTGTTCGTAACTTTTTTTATGAATGGATCCAACATTAATGAAAATGTTTGTTCAATTTCTACGACCTCTTCGAACAAAATCATTATATCTGCTACGTCTTTTGGATCAGATATTTGAACATTTGTCGTAGCGTCTATCGTTCGTGTATGTACCGAAGTCGTTACTGTATTATAGAAAAAAACATCGATAATTTAAGACGTATTAGGTATCAATATTTTTATAAAAATCTATAATTTATACTAGTTAATTAAAAGCAAAAACAATTATATTGATTACTATTTATGAAATATAAATGTATAATTATGTATAATATAAATGGTATTATGAAAGCTTAGATGAATTAGAAATGACCAGCATCATAAGTGACTCATGTCCAAAATAAAAGGTATCAGACACAGTCGAGATATTTATTACAGTATCGCAGCAATTAAAGGTACTCATGAATTAAATTAAATTTTTTTTTATTAGTTTAAGGTTTCGATGACTCAGGTTAGCCTGAAAGGTAGGGTAAGGTTGGTACGGTAAGGTTGTAACTGTTGGTACGGTTGAAAACAATTGGTTAGGAACACGTGTATGTGTGGTAAGGTTTTTCACACTATGAACCCTGGTGGTCACCCATGACCCATCGGAGAACTAGTGGCGGCGGTCGTTCACGTAGTGTGATTGATTTCAGCCAAAGCACAGCGCCGAGCCACGAATTAATTATTATATTAAATTATTTTTATACTTAATTTTAATATAAAAAAAAATATGTAGATGACTATTTTTTTATACGTACCTACCTAATCTAAAATAAAAACTATACGAGGGCTCAATAATTAAAAAATACACTCTTAAAGTACAAATATAAAATATTATATATTAATAAGAATCAAAATGTAATTAGTTGAAGATACTTACTGCACATATCTGGAATATTACAACTTGACATATAGTTTTGTCTGGCCAGGCTCACAAAAGCTTTTGCCACTAAACAAGCTTTATTCAAACTGTCTTGTTCAGATACAGCTGTAGAAACGATTTGGTTGCAAATCGATCTATACGCTGCTGGTGCTATAGTTTGGAAGAACGGTCTAAGCAAAAGAAAAAATTGTATGTAATCATTACCTACATTTCTGTTACCTGAAAGACGTTATTAACTATGGATTAATTAATTAATTAATTAATTATATGTTTACTTTAGAGAAGATTTTCCAGAGAACAAGCTGGAACATAGTGGATCGTCGGTTTGTAATAAATCAATATTAGTCGGTTCGGTGTTTCCTATTTGTCTGTACGCCAGCAAAAATGATGCCATGTCATCGGGTAACTATAATATGAAAACCAAATTTAAAATTATATAGATTTAGCGTTTGTTCTTTGTTTTTTTTTTTTTTTTATCATAGGTTAGGTTTACTTCTCCATTAGGTAGTTTTAAATCAAATGTAGGTTCTTGATACATTGATCCTAGTAAACCATGAACTTGACCATAATAGTATCCATTAATAGACACTTGAACAATGCTTAAATCCAAAGTGCATTTGATACTGACACCAACAGAAATATCCATTCCAAAGAAATACACATCTCTCCATGTTTTTAAATTGTCATTTATAAGTGGAAAATCTGCATTTTTTCCATTAACGGTGATCTGTAAAAATTTTTTTTTTAAATTTAGTTAAGGCTTGAATATTTGAGGTCATTAGCCCTTTTTATTTAGCAGGTTTTATCACTGTGGGGGAAGGTACGGTTGGTTTAGAACATGTGTATGTGTGACAAGGATTTGCCACTAAAAACCCGGGTGGTCACCCATCTAGGAATTATAGTGGCACCGGCCGGTGCTGGCACTCAGTGCGACTGGAGCCAGACACCACACCACACCAAGCCACAATCTGTAAATATTGTTTAAATGTAGAAACTAAAATTTGATCATCGTTAAAATTCTATATTCTTAATAAAAAAAACTAAAAAATTACAACTACTAAATTGGAATCACGGGTATAATGAAAATAATAGTTGTAACACTCTAAGTATATCGTTTCTCTCTCAATATATAATATATAGGTATACAATTTGTACTGATGGACGATGTTTAATATACATTTTTGAAAAAAAAATAACATTTTGTTTATCTAATGTCCTATTTACATGTTATTTTGTTTGTAAATTGGTGTAGATGGCAGTAGGTACCTATGGTATTGTATAAGCTTAATTATTCATTTTTTACTTACACTTCCTCCGGAAACCAGTACGTATTGTTCACCATTATAGTTTGAAATCGATATTTTTGTTAAAATGTTATTCTTGTAACCAGCAAGTATTGAAAATTTGTTGTTTACAAAATCCTCGGCCAACATATAATGACCGGTGTTTGGCATGAAGCTGTAGGGTTGACCATTGTATGTAATTATATTGATGGAGTCGATAATAACACTTTGCGCTGTATTAACGACAAAATAGATAAGAACCTATGAGTTAATAATTTGAGTACACTTTAAAAAATAATGTAAGTATATTATACATTACCATCGAACGGTGGTATTAAATTCGATGGATTCAAATATTTATGATAATATACATTGAAGTCAATTAACAAAGGATTTTCATTGGTTGGATATTGGAATGTGTTTGGCGAAGCTATGTGAAGAATAGTCTGGCCAAAAGTAGTAAGTTTACGTAATGCATTATACATATTCATTGCTCTTTCGTGATCTACGTAATTTGAAAAATCAAATATCATTGACTTCACGACTATAAGTCCTTTATTCCTCAGGGTTATTATCTCTCTTTGGCTCACCGGTATGTCATGAATGATCTAAGCGATTAAATTCAAATTATAAACATAAATTATTGCACACACTTTTAGTTTTGTACACATATCTAATACTAACATTATTTATGTACTTATCCAAAGCATTGATAAAACTACCGAAGTCTCTGGTCGGAGCTAAATTTTCTAGGTCTTGCAAATAGTTATGTATTTCCTCCCATACTTTCTCTTTGTAAGGGTATGATTTTAACTACGAATAGTCATTATAAAATATATGAATACAATTATAAATTTTATTTCATGGTTAGAATATTTTACTTTTTCAATTTGATCGTGTAACATGTCATAAATCGGCAAGCTCTTTATATAATCATCTGTTAAGTCTTTAATGTTTTTTATTGAATCTTCAAGTTTCTCGATCGCTTTCATAAATTTATCCATCATTTCTAATTATGGAAACAAAAATCATATTAACTTTTGGGCCTCTACACGAGTGTTATCTGCGAGGCACAGTTTGTTATACATTTAGTTAAACTGTAGTTTATTAGTTCAATGTTGCATAATAAAGTAAATAATAATTTATAATACCTACTATGAATGTTGTACCTAACCATTATTTTTAAACCAAAGGGTAGCAAGTTTTTAAAATAAATTTAATCAATAACTAATATCTTACTATTGTAGTACTCTTTAACAGAACGAGGTTCTGATGACTGCATTTCATTCACAGGTTCATCAGTATATAGATTTAACTGTCTAAATAAGTCCAGTAAAGTAAGCTCCATTTGATCGATTAATTCATCAATATTATGTGACAATTTATTTAAGAGTACATTTGCATTATCTGCATAATACTTATAAATTTTCTTTAAATTAGTTCCCATACGTCCATTTAGATGCCTAACCGAGTTTATGAAGTAGTCACTGTTATAATTCATAAAATCAATAACATCGGAAAATACAGCTTCTGTGGTATTTTGTCTGTAAGCAGATATAATTTATTAATTTACCCATAAAATTAAAAATATATTAAAATATATTTTTTAAATTTACATCAACATTGGTATTTGTAGTAAATAATCATCTTCCAAGACTTCATTAAGTATTTGATCACACATGTCGCGAGTATATTCCTTCAATGCACGATATTGTGGTTGAGCTTTTCTTGCTTCATGCAAGCGTAATTTACGCTGCTTTTTGGCCACAGATATTATATTTTTCATATTGCTGTGTACACTTATAAATATTTCGATGAATTGTCCCTTTAATGATTGCTAAAACACAAGAATAGCATATTATTTGTATGTTAAAAAGGTGGGCAAGAGGGTACCGTTTTGCTGTACGCGGCAGGTGACGAGTATACCTCGTCTTTAAGTAGGTAGGTACATCTAACCGTAATAGTGCAATGTACCTGTTATGTGTTAAACTGGAATTCAACGAGAAATCATTGTATATATGAAAAACGATTCTGAGCCAACTGCAGAGGCGCATTTACGTATTTGGCGCGCTTGATACACATATTTTGGCGTCCCTTTTATTCCCAGTTTCCTTTTACTCATTGTCAAAAAAAACTTTTAGCCCCTCTAATTAGAAAATTTACTTTTTCTCTACGTTAAAAGTGATACTATAAAATGTATATTTTTACCCTCATTACACTTATGTTTCTACTAGTTTAGAGAACACTTTTATTTTACCATTATAATTTTAAATCTTAGCCTTCTTTTTTTCTAAATTGTACGTATGACAATATAGTAAAATACATAATACATTATAATATATATACATATATATAAATATGTATAGAAATGTAAAAGATATAATAAGAAAAGATCCAGGTTATCACTTATCAGTTATCACTAATATAATTTCTCAACAAATCCAATAAAATAAAAAAATTAACCTTTTTTTTTCATTATAACTTTACTTTGAAAACAATTTAGCCTCTTTAAAGGACAGTCGCTGTCAGCCTGTATTACTAAGTATATTTTATCATATATTTATACTGAAACTATGGTAATTTATTTTACTATATGCAATTACTATTATGCAATAGGAACATTTTTATCAACACTAAAAAAAAATGTCAAATGTCTATACATAGCTCAAAAAGAATCAAAACATTTTGAATATTATTATAGATACCATGTATAGAAAATGTTAATATATGGTGAACATTGCATGTGCCTCCCTATTTATGTTTATTCGTTTTTAAATTACAACTAAATTAGAAAATCGATTTTGTTAAAACTGGTGTTGAGTACAATTTCCCGTTTTCCCAATTATGTATTAAGAAATAACTTATTTTTATACTTTTAACCCCCTGAATGGTTACACCTTGATTCGATTTCATATTATAAAAATAATGAAGTTGAAGGTTATAGCAAAACTGCTTCTTAACTGATCTAAAAGAGGATGATGGACACAAAAAATAAAAAACACATCATTATTATAATTTATAAAACCAATACATTATAAATTGATCACTCCGCTGAGAATCAAAACAAATTCTGTAATGTAAACTATATGCACAATACACTTACCCAAATTTCGTTAGAGTGATCTGTACTCAAATGGTTACTTGTATCCCACCAATTTTGTTCGTCTAAGGATTTTTTTATATATCCCACAGGCATGACGTCATTACCATTGTTTAGTATACGAGTAACACTAATAACAGCAGAATCATCCATAACAATAGAACCTTCGACCATCAGCTGTTCATGACTTCCCGTTTTATCTAATGAAAGTATATATAATTTGAATGAAAAATTAATGATCTCATTTGAAGCTAGTACATACCTTCCCATCCCATTATGAATTTGAAACTTGGATTTGAGGTTAATGAAATATCAAAGGAATATGGATGATCATTGTACTTTATGTTTGTTCGTGTATTCAAAACTCCGTCTTTGACCATAATTGACGAATCAACGTCGATCTCGGCAATACCAAAAATGTTCATCTAGGTATATATAAATAATATAATTAGTATCTATACGCTTATACTAGTATAAATAAAGGTAATACAGACTTTGTTAGTAAATCCTCTAGGCACTAATTCAAAATGTACTTGAATAGGTCTAATTGTATTATTCTTATCAATAAAACGTGCATCTAAATATTTTCCCCATTTTTCACTTGAAACATATATAGAATCTTTAAATGCATAATCTAATTGCATTCCCTGAATAAAAAAAAAAACAATAAGGTATTATTGGAACAATTATTGTTTCAGACGTAAAACTTTTTAAACATGCTTACATCGCTTTGAGCTAATAGCGAGGCAGAATACAAAACTCCACTATCTTGAACGTCTCTATTTAAACTAGAACGGAGTTTTAATGTTTGATCTGTAGTGGGAAAAATGTCAAGTTCTAATTGAATACTTAATGGATTTTCCCAGTTCTTAAACATCTGGACAGCGGTATTGACACCCATTTCCTAAATTATTTTATGTTTTATGTATAACTAGGGGTTTTTATACACACAAGTTAAATTAATTATTTTACCTTTTCATTAAATATCGGTATACATATTTTTATGTCACTGGCTGTAGAAAGTCCTTCATTAAGTGAATAGTAAGTATTTATTGATAAAGTACTTTCTGAATTTGGGTCAGAAATAAAATCTAACCACAATCGTCCCGAATAAATAAAATTGTATCCTCCTTTTATACTGTTCAAACTATAATGCACTAAGCCTCTTATTTCTCGTTGTTTATATAAAAGCTTGAATGCTACAAGATGATATATTTTTCAGTCAAATACAACATACATACATTTTAAAAATATACAAAATCCAACCTGTTTTTTCATAGTTTGTAAACCATTTAAATTCATACGAGTCAGTCAAATCTTCTGATGAATAAATTTTAAGAGTATGTTCTTCATCTAATGAGTAATTACCAAATTTAATATAGGAGTTAAATTCTAATAAATTTTGGTCATCATTAATCAAATAATAAAATACGTTTGGGGAATCAACTCTAGATATTAATTTATAAGACCAATTCCATGCACCTAAAATTAAATAATTATTACTATTCATAAACATATTTTTGTTTATGATTAATTTATACTTATTATATCATATTCTAAATCCATCATTATTTTTTGTTCCTCGTCATCTATTTTGTGCAATTGTTTATAGTTTAACGTGTGTTTAGTGACTTGCAAAAGTTTTTGGTATATAATTTGCTGATTATTATGTTCCAGTGCCACTTTGTACATCGATCTAGAAATATACTATTGTTTAAATTATGTCTAAGTGGAACTAATCGTTATAAATACTTGTTTGCCAGTTGCGTATTTTTCATCTGTATAGTTTTTGTATACTATTTCAAAACTAATAGGTTTGACATTCTGTGACTCGTCGTAAATACTCTCTCCAGACACATATAATTCACCATCGTTTAGTGTTAACTGATACTTGAACCTTAATAATTATTCATAAAAATGTATTCATTTTATAATAATGAAATATCAAAAGACTTACTTTTCGGATAGTAAAACTTTATCATTAGAAATGCAGCGAACTGTAGCAAATCCACCATCTTCAATTTCGGGATTAGGTTTACTTTTTACTGATATGTGGAAATTTTCTAAATGAGCTAATGGAAAATCAATGTTTCCATTCATGTGGATATGACGTCCGTTCAAAAGCATTTTTCCATTTGCATTTAAATAGTTTGAATTTTGATCACCAGGCCATAAAACCTATACAATTCAAAATTATAATTTATTTTAAAAGTATTCTCTATCGAAAAAAAATTAAAGTGAATTGCAATGATCATCATTAAAACCTACTTTTGTATCAAATAAATACGTATTCTTCGGTTCTGACCAACCATGTGTAATCATAAAATACTTATATTCAGGATTGGGAGAATCAAAATTAATGTTACAAGTGATATCGTCTGTTAAAATATTCATATCAACCGTAAAAGTAGAACCATCGTAGATATCGTAGTAAATAGTATACTTAAAAGCATCATCTGTAGACTATAAACAAAAAAAATAAGTTGTATATTATAAGTAGGTAGTATTTACTATTTTAGTATTTATAAGGTATAACTATGCTGACCTGATGTTCTGTATTAAAATGATATCTTCCAAATGTTTTTGGGTCATCTGAATTAAATTCAAAATAACTACCTTTTTTATTTTTATTTTGAATATACTTAAAATCTCCATGTCCAACAAACGATGGGTCAGAAACAAGAGAATGTTCTAAAAGCCCAAGAGCATATATTCCCGTATCTTCAGTACTTGGCAGAATCGTGATATTAGCTTTGAACACGATAGGATATAATTAATATAAGCAAAACTATTTATTCAATCATAATGCTCACCATTAAATGTCATATCGAGTAGATTGGAGGTCATAATATATCCATGCGTTGTGAGTTCATCGTTTTCAAATAGTACGTCACAGTTTGCTTCAAAATAATCATCGTCCCAGAAGATATGATTTTTACTTAAGAATACATATGGTTCTCCAATATGAAGTTCTTGTGATGTAAGTACATTCAAAGTCTTAACTTTGTTTAGTAAAGCTACAAATTTGGACATTGATTTATAATCATTGCTTTCATCAGTCTCCAATAATTGTTGTTTGGCTTGTTCGTTTCTAGTCATATCTAACTTTAAGTCCAATTTGAATACTGGAGAATCTCCACTAAGAAGTCCGTTCATATTAATAGTAACACTATTTGCTGTTAAACTAACATCTCCTAATACTTCGTTGTTTTCAAAAGTTAACGACCCTTGTAAAGAATGTTTGCTTTCGGGAGTAACAAAAGAAACGTCTCTTAAAGTTAATTTACTTGGATAATTACTTTCAGGATTTGTATTACGTTTCACAAGAACGTTCCCTTCTATGTCAAACATAGGTACGAGATGATGTCTGTGTTTTGTAGTGCTCCCTTCTGTAGAGTATTTAGCTTCAAATATTGGTGAATATTTTATTGTTTCAGTATCTATTTCTTCACATTTTACTCCAGCACTAAAAATGTGCTGGGAACCATCAATATATTTAACTTCTATGGTTTTTTGTTCGTCTGAATCAACTAATGTACCTTGGAGAATTTTTTTAGTGAATGGAGTTTTAAACTCTGCTAATAATTTTTTATGTGCTTTAGTATCATAAACAACGACTAACTCCAAACCACGTTTGATGTCTGCATTTGGTGTAACAAATATGAACTTAATATATTTTAGTGTTGGCGCTATGAAATAATTATAAACATTTTTAATTGATTAATGGATTACTGGTAATTAATATTGTATGTATACTTACACTTAAAGTCATAACTTCCTTTCACAACATATTCAGTAAGGTTTTCATCAACTTTAAAAACTTTTAAAGAAAGTGACGATGGACCAGAAAATGGCAGTAACGATTTTAACTGTCCGTTCCAAGGATATTCATAATTAACGTAAAACGATAAGCCTACAGTACTGTTAATATTTTCAAATGCTCTTGTATACGATTGCCTAAAAATGTAATTGTTACTATCAATGTATTTTAAAATACCCATTTTATTGTATTTTCTGCAGGTATCGTACCTGTCAACATTTGTAGACGTAATGGGTATTTCAATCGATTCACTTTCTTTTTCCTGTACTATTGAAAACGCTTCAGATTTTATAGTCAATATATCCATGACGTCCAAAGGAAGTCCATAAACCATTTCAAAACCTCGACCTTGAGTCGTCTTTAATGAAAAATCAGATCCTGTGGATGTATGAAGTGAGGACGATATTTTATAACCGACATCAACAGTATATCCATCAATTGTTAATAAGGAGTTGAAAACAAGTGAACCACTGAAAATAATTGATATAGATTCATCAGTTATAATTCCTTACAAACAATAATCAGTAATATAATATATCTTATCCAGTTTTTTTAGCTCAATTTGTAAAATAAGCAAGTGAATCTCATAATATAATGTGAACTGAACAACAAAATATTTTTTAAATAAAATTACAGCTATATACAAAATTTCGTTTAAGTATAACTGTTATGATAATATTTAAGTTTTAAGGAAGCTGAATATTTTCTTGACGTAATCATAAATAAAGATCACTTCACATTTCACAGAAAGGGTAATTTCACGTACTCGATTACATGTGTAGGTACAGGATGTGGATGTCCCGTGAGGATTACCCATTAGCCGAAGAGGGGGACTCGTCATAAAAACCGGTTTTTTACCAATAAACTAAAAAAATTATTAAAAATTATGAAATTATGAAAATAAAGTATTTAAAAATCAAAATGTTCACAAAAATAATCTCTATAAAATGGCTATCTTCAATCATTTAATATATTTTTATTTAAAAATAAAAAAATTATTTTTACCAAAATATTAAATTAAATTAAAAAATAAAATATATTTATAGTCCTTGTATCTGTGAGTCTAATAAAAAAACAGATTTATAATATATTATTCATTAGAATCGCATGGTAATCTGAGGGACACCTTCTACATAAAATGCTATAATATATAACCTAGGTATAATACTTATAACTATAAGATACATTTTAATATTTATAATAAATCACCTAGGTATGAGTTTGAGTGCGAAATTTGAATTTTCTGGATGTTTAAAATATCTTTCTAAATCGAATATAGTAGCTATATCAATTTTAATAGCTGACGTAGCCTGGATTTTTAATGAAACTGGAAGTCCAGAACATGTTGCATATTTCTTTTCGAAATCGATAATTGGTATTTGTTTCCTTATGTTTAGCTAAACATTTGATACATTATTATTTAATGATAAAGTAAATATTTGTTTAATTTAAATAAATAAACGTTAAAATAATTATTTACTTCTAGATTCTTTTTATCGGTTACTGAATTATCAAAATTATTAAGTATGGCATCAATTACATGTTGGTAAGTAATTTGACATTCACGTCCTTGGAATGAAAACCAACCAAGATCATTTCCAAATAATTTAAGCGCTATATCTACATACATTTTTTTCATTTCTTCTTCAGGCATATTTTCACAAGCCTGCAAAAACAGTAAATAATAATTTACATGTATGATACACACTTATTCATGTTTTTACTATAGTATAGATAGTATACAAGTACTTGTTATATACTAGTTGTATGATTTGAAATACAAAAGGGTTTAAAATAAAAATCATATACTGATATATTATGAACGATTTACTTGTTTAGAAGACAATTCTGAATTGACATCATTCTGTTCTCTATTCTTAGCATAGTTTATTGCTTGAGTTACGTAATTTTTAACCTCATTGAAAGTAGATCCTTTACTTTTTGCAAAATATCCTTCGGGTCCAAATAGTTTTTCCAGTAAAGGTTCCAAGTTTTCAATACGGACATCAACCTAAATTGTAACCAGGATTAGTATGAACAATTGTTTTTTTTTATTTTTGAATAAAAGTATTATAATATTTTAATATTTACATCAATAATGTCATGTTTACGTCCAAATATGTATGCTTTTAGTGATGCCGAAGAAGACCGTGGCAAAAAAGTTCTTTGAAAAAAAAATAATATAATTAATGATAAAACTTTTTACTTGAGTTAATAGTTATTATACTGTTATAGCCAATAGGTATATATGTTTTATTACTTGTATGAATAAATAATATCTGCGTCCAATAAAACTCCACTATGTATTAGAGGGCATTGATGGTAGTATTCCAATTTCCGCGAGTAACGCAGAATGTCATTGAGTGATTTTTTTGATGAAATCGTATTAATTCCTTCATAAAATCTCTTTTGATCTAGTTTATTTTCATCTGCTGTCGTCTGTAAATTACTCAAGTAGCTGAGTAAGTAAGCTCGAACTAAAATAAAAATTTGATGAAAAAAATTATTTTTATAATTGTGTGAATTTTCTTAATATTATTGATGAAAACATATTGATTAAAAGATATATTAAATGAACATAAGTTTTCATATTACAGGAGAAATATAAGTCTTAATTCTTTATAATCCCACATTTTTTCTATGGCTATAGTTATGGAGTCTCGCTTAATATTTATTAAAAATGGGGAAAAATTAAGTATTTAATTGGTACTTGCATACAACATTGTAATAAAGTACAAGGGTTATCACTTAGTATAATATTAGAAGGAAGGTACATATCATTTTTATGTTCATTAGTATTTACTATTTAGTTGCATCAGGTTTAAAAAAATGAATTGAATTAAATCTAAAACAATAATGTTATTCGATCAAATGATAATAACATTTTTCTTGGTCTTACTTTGAAGTTGGGTGTTTTTGTCATCTAATACTGTTTTTATAACAGTCGCTTTATAGTTAGATGGATTAATGGCAAATACTTTAAACGCTAAAATACGTAGTTCGGAATCTTCCAAGTAGTTGGTAAAAATGCTTTCACAAGCTTTCTCCACCTAAACACAATAAGTAACTAAGTAAAGATTAAAAATTTACAATTCGGTTGATTATAGATAAAATATTGTTGACGAAATTAAAGATATCATAACCATATAAACGTATACACCTTAATTGGCTTATATTATATAATCTTATGATAAACAAATATTTAACTCATGAACAGAGTGAAATAAATGTAATAATCAAATGTTATTATTTAATGCATGTGGACGGCGGACCCCGATTTAAATCTAATACATATTTTTGCATACCTTTGAATTCTCAGAGTAGATTTTAACCATATTCAATGCTGCTGCTTTAATCCTTTGAATAGTATTTTTATCCATAGTAATCTTAATAATCAAATCTTCTAGATCACTATTTATGTATTGAGCATAGCCGAGACCCTTTAGACTAGCAATAATTAAGTCTTCGTCGTTTGATGATAATGGACCATAGCCCACTTTCATTAATGGATTTCCTAAATTATTCAAAGTATTTCCTACTTCAGGACTAGTATAATCCTGAGTCTCTTGTAGGTATTGTCTTAACAAAGCGCCGACTCCCAGATAGCCCTCTTTTAGAGCTCTGTCATTGAGTAAGTTCTATAAATAATTTTAAATTTTTATAATCTATAATTTATTTTATAATAACACTCAAGTGCAAAGTGAAAATATTTAAATAGATTTACTGATGCTTTGACCACTGCCTCTTTGGTTGGATTTTTTGCGTTTGCCAAATTATTAAACCACGAAATAGTTAATGAATCGCTTAATTTGTTGCTATCTATGAGTTGTACAGCGGCTTCAATAGATTCACCACTATTAGCAGCCATTAGAGCATCTATGAAAATTGATCTATAACAGTGTTATTGACGTGTTACAATAAAGATTTAAACATATCAATATTATTTTTATCAACATACTCTGGTACTTCAGTATTTTCGTATCCACTACTACCACTCATAATCTGATCAAACGCAGAAAGTATGTCGTCCTTCTTTGCCACTTTTAATAATTGTACTAACTCTGAAAAACTATCAGCACCGTCCATAGCGACTATTGGTTCGAGTTTAGTCAAAGCCGATTGTGTTGCAGCTACTAACGCATCAGCATCTGCCGATCCAATTATTCCAGTTGGTTTTTCAAACATAATAGATCGGCTTTTGCTCAGACGACTTGAAGATGCTACAAGTCATATGAAAAAATTACATGGGATAAAATATAAATGTGTGTGTGTGTGTGTGCGTGAGTATTAAAAAGTAAAAACAGGAAGATAATTTTTCTTACGGGTTTTAACCCCTGTCATTTTCACCAATTGCAAATTCATGGATACCATTATTCTAGTTTCTACATCAATTGGACCAAACGGTTGATAGATGAAAGTCTCTACGTTGGTGACTGCTACTAATGTAGAATCTTTTATTTGGATTTCGGAACGCTGAACGGCTGTCGAGAACGGAGAATCTTCATAAATCTGTAGAAATACAATAATAATTTAAACAAGACACATATCTCAACAACTTAACTTTCTTGTGTATGAGTGTATTATGTTTATTAGTTATTATGTATAGGTGTGTGTATACTAGATTTTATTCTAACCGGATACGATTGTGCCGATGAAAATCCCATTAAATTGATTTTGTCGTGCCCCGTGCACTGTGTGAGATCTTTTTCCTTCGTTATTGTAAGATCCGAGTCCGACCATGTCCCTGGATAATATGTAGTATTACATGTCCCTTGAATATCGGTCTAATAGCATAATATATTAAGTTTGATTACTGTCACTGAGTCACGCATGCTGTATTACGATAAAGAAAAATCACAAGAACAAAAATAGGCACCTCGAAAAATCCTTTTTGTTCTTCTTGTATCGACGATACTTGCAATGATGATATGATCGCTCGTTTTAAATTCATCGCCGCGGCACTATCCTTTGCTAACGAACAGATATTCCGACCTACTTTTCCGTTGTTGTAAGAAAACAGAACTGGGTGGCCCTCTAGTTCCCGTAATTCTGCGTGGCCGTAAATCTGTGCCAAAGTATACAACAATAATAAGTAATAATTCTGCAGTTTCTTAAGATAAAATGTACTATCTGCAAATAAATACACGCTTATACCTTCGACCCTTGAGTTATTTCAAGATTCTTAACATAAAGGATGGCACCACATTTGTGTGTCCCGATGATATTGGCCTTTCCTTTGATCGATACTTCCGATACACCCTCTCCAGTGCCGGTCGGAGCAACCATTATGATCTTACCGCTAAACAAATATCCATGTTTTGTGTTCTCGCCAAACACTACATTGCCATTTGAAATTCCTAAAAGCGTATTTTTTATGGTTTAATTTGTTGTTGCGTTGCGCTAAAATTTATTGTACACAACGACTGTGATAAAGTCGTGCATAAATAAGCATATTTCAAAGTGTACGAACCATCGGTACATTCTGAGGAACATAATAGTATATCACTCTCGTAATCCCTAACAATAGTTACCATCGGTTCTGAAAATGAAAAATTCAATTTAGTTTAATTCCGTATTCTAGGTATTTACTTATATTTCCCTATCTTTATATTTTGATTCCGTGCAAAGTTTGACTCTGTTAAATGGAGCTTAGCCAACCACAGGCATAAGAGTGCCCATTACTGTATGGATACTACCATTGTTATAAATACTATAAACACTGTATTTATAATCAATGTATACTGAATTTGTGACTTGCAGTGTGGTAAGTACTTGTAACAAAATTACTGCCCCCCTCCCTTCAAATCTGTGATCTTGATCCTTGCCTTATTTGCACAAAAATAAGGATATGTAATTTGTACCATCGCATAATCGCATGTATAGTAAAATGTAAACCGTAATTTGTTCCAAAATTAAAAACGATTATTCTTTCGATATTACGCCATACACATTTTGATAGTAAAGTAGGTAACTATGAGATTTCGAGGTATAAGAAAGTACTAACACAGAATATTCCTAAATTTAACTCATTCCGTGTTCCATAACTATTTTATAATTACTCGATCAGTGGAAAATCATGGCTTATATATTTTATCCATGCGGAAAATAAGACTTTTTAGATAATACAAATACCTTTTAACTTAATGGACTATACGATATTATGGCGAAGTCAGTATCTGAGTATAAAAATGTACAACAATATAAACTATAACAAATAATATTATAGTGCTTAATTATTTTAAAGTTATTATTGACATTTGTCATTCATTCGAGTTATCGATCTTTGGCATTGAGCTCGTCAACAAACGACCGGCTTTTGTCAACCGGCACATATACCTAATAAATAGTAATAAATTATTACTAATAATACATCGTAGGTATAGTAAAAATACAGCTAGTTAAATGTAAAATAATATACTGTAATATAAGTTTTTTCAATTTCAATGGGCCTAGATTATAATATAGTGAATAAAGAATAGAAATGATTATAAATTAATAAATATCTTTAGACTGATTTATATAAAATAATAATATTATATAGATATAGATACCTAATAGTCAGCAATTAGACCAACTATACAACAAATAAAAAATTGATACACAATTAATTGTACCTATATGGCTATATATCAACTTATATTTACTTTAATTTAAAATTTTTTATTTTTTCAAGCTTTGAACCGTTATTTTTTATTTAATTTATTATAATTTATATAACAATATAACACAATTATTTGTATATCTACTTGTAATTTGTATGACTAAACATTTTTGGCATTTACAAATACATTTTACTGAATATTAAATATTATATCAGTATGTCAATCGTATTTAGTACAAATCGGTTTTGTCACAAAAAAAAAACTAACACCCAACTCAGCTCTGTCGTGAGAACACCGGAGGCATACAATCTGACCTATAGATATAATTTTTTCACACACAATAATTGTGCAAATGAATTATTCGGAAACACTCAAACACCCATAAAAATAATACATAATAATAAATGTGTTTATATATACATTATAAAATTATAATAGGTATTGTAGATTTTAATTGTACCAATTGGCAATTGGTACTGGTATAATACTACAATGCACTATTTTAAATTTTTATTAAAATCAATAAAAAATCGATAAAGGGATAACTACAGATAACAATATGTGCTGAGGGTGTTACAGTTAAATTACCGTTCTATGATATATGACCCCAGGCGGCAAGCTCACACCTAGCTAGTTTCGCCAATGAGACCACATGCAATTGGTTTTAGAATTTAGTAATTAATTACAGCAGTAAATAATCGAGTATTATTTAAACTTAATATTGAAAAACATTGTTTTTTTTTTTAATTAGTAATTACTTGTTTTTGTTTATTTAATATTAAATTATTAACTATATATATTATATTAACTTATTATATAATATTATATAACAAATGTGCATGCATATTACACAATTTTGATGTAAGGACCTACTGTAGAAATATGTACTCATCAGTCATCTTTATTAATAACTTTGGTTAGGTACACCTATAAGAAGTATATATAATATACCTACCTAGGTACCTAATGGGAATAGATACAAAGTACGAAAAATATACAATTTTAAAATAGTATATAATATATACTTAAGTTAATTTAATTTAGCTTATAAATAAAAATTCAATAATAATATTCAAATATAGGTAGGTAGTTAGGTAAAACTTACTCGAATGTCTTGACGAAGCTAATCCTACTGCTAGTGCTAGCAGGAATAACTTCATTAGTGTTTTCATGATGACTCAAGAATGATTTTAACCAAATTGGTTAATTTGGTTCAAGGAGCTTATGGTTTCACATGCATCAAGCAAATTAATTATACGATATTTTCTTTGCAGTAGATATTTTGTAAGATGTCCTAAAAATAAGAAGATAATTTTAAAATGGTATAGTTTTAAATTCCAACCAAATTGAGAATAAGCAGCTAATACGCAAATTGATAAATGCATTATTGAGTTAATTTTGTATTTTATTATTTTTTATTTAGTAGAAGCTAGTGCTAAAAAAAATACATATACTATAACATATTTTGATTGGATCTAATTGATATTTTGAATTTTCCACAAAAATTATTAAAAACAAGATAAATATCCCCTGAAATTCCAGAATATTTTTTTTGTCTGTAAGGATCACATAAAAATAATTAGCTAATAATATATCCCTAACTATACTTTCAGTAATTATAGAAGTTACCATATAATTTGAAAATTAATTTACCTAAGTCATCACCTATTTATGGTGAAAATATTTTCCAATTATTTAAACAGTTAACAGATGACAAACAGTCAGACATATTTTATTGGTCCACAGGATAAATTAATTTTTTATTTTAATTTGTTTTCTTTTTTAAACATAGACGAACGGTTTAAATTTTGAAAATAAGTATATAGTTAAAAAAACATGAAGGTAAGTCATCTATTATTACTATAGTGTTGGCCTAAAGTATTTTACAATAAATCGTATACTCGTATTTCGTAGAAGATAAAAATCATAAATAAAATAAACAAATTTACTCACCTTTTTTAATATTTAAAAACTGCGTGCAATTAAAGCTTTAATTACACAAATATTTTAAGAGTGTAAGACAATATGTACTAGACTATTATCAAAAAATAACGCAGGTAGTTTAACAAGCTGGTTAGAAGCACTTGCACTAGTTATAATTTTGTCATTTTGAGCTTTTTATACTACAATTTTATGACGAACGAATGTCTAGTGCATGATCTTGAATTGATTTTGACGGGGAAAAAAATTATGCGTCCGCATAAAATAATATAATTTTAAAATTATAAATTAGCAAAATCTACACAACAACAAAAAACAATACATACGAACCATTCAGTAATAATATTTAACTACATTAAAATTCAGTTTGACGCACGTATTATTTATAAGTTTCCAATTTCCATTCCAATTTATTCGCACTGTCCTTGGTAGGTTCATATAGTTATATAACTTAAAATAAATAATAATATTCAAGATTAAATATTGAGGATAACCTAAAGGGTTCTGATTGAAATGTCTTAAAAATATCAAAATAACCTTATATATTCTTCAGGTTTTATATTTCCAGTGAAAATATACTAGCGGTACCTTATTTAGCGAAGCAATGAATGTACCGATTTTACAATGATGTGAATTATTTTATTTTTTTATTTGGGTTACCTGTCATCACATTTTGGGACAGTAAAAATGATTCCATTTTCTTCGACAGCATCTTTTCTGATCGGGAACGTGAATATAGTTTTTACTTTGGGAAGTCAGGAAAAACAAACAAAAAACTTTTCAAAAAAAAAAAAGAATTCTGTTTTTTAGTGTAACTCTAAAAAAAATAACCTTAGATACATGCAATTTTCATTGAATATTTATTTTATTTTAGCAATTTTTATGCAATTTTTATGCAACACAACATTTTCGAAATAATGCCACCCTTTTTGAGTTATTTATAGACATTAAAAAAAAAGTGGTTTTATTTAATATTTTTTTTTTAAATTTGAAACAATGCATAAAAATCAAGAAAAAAGTTTATCGAAAAGTCAAATTTTTAGTAGTCTTTGAAGTGAGACATATTCACATATTATATAGATACTTATTATAAATAAATAAATGTAAATTAACAAATTCTCATTCAACGATTTTCTTATTTTGTCGTTATTCAAAACCTATTACTCGTTGTTTCTTACTTGAAATTTTTATCATTTTCAATGCATGATAACATTTTCAAAATATTTTGACTCGTTTTGAATTATTAATAGACATTTGTAATTTTCTATTTTTTTAGTTTTATATTCTTTAACATTTTATTTGTAAGGTTTTTATCTTGAAAATGAAATACAAGATTTGAAGATTTCTTTTAAGTTGTTATAAATAAATAAATATTAAAGATCCATATTTACGATTTTTGTTAGGTACCTACCTATTTAAAGTTCAAATATTGACAAAATTACATATTGAAACGTAGAATAACGATATTAGTTATTTTTTTGTAATTTAAAAATATTATTCGTGGGTATATGAAACTTTTACAGTATATTACTATATTTTATACTCACAATGACAATTTTAAATGTAATTTTTTTGGCGAAATTGAATTGAATTTATTGTTATACTAATGCCCAATATAACAAAATAAATTACCTACTTTAGTCTTTAATCACAATAATATCATCAAGTCATCAAATATATTTTTAATATATACTTAGTAATATAATAGGCTCAAGGCTGACAGACAGAATTTTCGCTCAGAATTGTTTTTCGTATACAATGATTTTATAACATCATTGAATTCAAACTTAACACCATAAATTACAGTGGTCAGTGATTAACATGTAAACACTGAACGTGTAGTAGATAGCAACACCCACTTGGCACTTACCCGCTTTTTTTTGTAGTTTATTTTTAATAGTAGGTATACTAGGTATATACTATATACTTATGTTTAATTGTTAATTGCCAAGCCAGGATTAAGGGGGGGGGGGGTCAAGGGGGCCATGGCCCCCGGGCCTCGATAGTTAGAATTTATTTAGGGGCCTCAGATTTGTCCATTACTTTTTTCATTATAGGCTATAACACTGCATAAATCACCTAAACGAATCGATTAATTATAATTTATAAATAAAGTGATACATTATTCATTATTTATTGCTACGTAACTAATATCTATATATATTTATAATAACAGGTACCTAATATTAAATAATATAATATATATTATTATTTATTTTTTCGTACAGGGGCCTCATTTTAAACTTTGGCCCCTGGACCTCAAAATGTCTTAATCCGGGCTTGTTAATTGCATAAATTAATAACCAAAATTGAAAATACTAACAACAGTATTTTCACTTGACCATGTTCTTAAAATTTAAAGTTTATGTAACTACATCTTTAGATCTCCCAAATACTTGCAAGTTGAAATATGTCATAAATCTAAACACGCCTGGTTCGCGCTATCCTCATTATTATTTATGTTGTTCTGCTCGTTTCCAGTCTATTATATCTTAGTCCGTCTGCCAAATCCAAAGTAAATTTGTGTTACCTTCCTACGACCTATCTAAGATAAACAAGTGATCTCCAAAATCATAAAATTACTCAATAATGCAAACATGTAGGTACTTAATATAAATCTTAATTATATTATGCACTAAAAAGTGCTAAATAGATAATAGTAAAAACAATGCAGACATGCAGTGTAAAAATGGCAAGAAATAGTGAGCAAATACGTAAAATAGTAAATACGTTCAAAATATGTTCTTAATGCATTCAAAAATGTATACCGAATCAATAAAATGTTGGCAAGTAGGTAATCACTCTGCTGAACAGTATAGCAGACCTAAAGTATTTTAATATTTTTTAATTGGTACTTGGTAGGTATATGATTAGCTTATGAGGAATGTGGTATTAAATTTTTAAGCTTTTATACCCCAAAACAAAAAATGTGTCGTAATATGAGGTTATGTAAATAGTAAATATATTATGTAACTTATGTAAATTGAAAAATAAATAATAATTATAAGTAGAACAATAAGAGCCAACATATTTGTATAATTATTTCACGTCTAGTAAATTCTTATATGAATATTCTGAGAAAATTTTTAAGTGTCTACATTTATTTATTTTTGAATTACAATGAAAACACATAATTGATTTTCTAGAACACAGGTTATGCATAAAAACACATATCATATAAATCAGACACAAAATTATATTTAAAACCAAATATTTTATTTAACATAAAAACCAATTAATATTTGTTATTTCAACTTGTATAATATCTTGTACATAAGCTAATGCTCAAATAAAAATGTTTATAATAGGTATTCAATTTTATTTTTCAAAATAAACTTGAGGTAACATTTACAATTTACAGAAATGTTTCAACAAACAAAATATTAATAATAATAACTAATACTAAGAGAAAAAAAACACCCCTTTTTTGAAAATACACAATTATATTATAATATGGTGCTACTAAAAATAATAATAATAAATAAATAATAACTATAAGTATACAATGTTGAGATAGGGAAATAATATTCTAAATAACATACATAATTTAGATAATAACAATTATCTAAGTTAATTAAATACACCAGTAGTGAGTATTTATGTATACAAAAAAAAACAAAAATATTTTTAAGTGTAGACAAAATAATTTTTAAGTCCCTCTCGGCCCCTCTTTTAAAACAAAACAAAACATTAAATACTGTAGTTGCAATTCGGAAGGATAAAAAAAATACTTTTCAGAGGTAGTTAAATACAAACCCTAAATGCATAACGTAAATACAAAAACAAAATAACAAAATTATAGTAATACAATTTGAAATTTCAGGACGAATAAATAAATTAAACAAGTTGACTTATTTTGTAACATATTCATAAGAAATATTACAATTTAAAAAACTCTGTGCAACAAATAAATAAGTAAAATTAAATAATGTTTTACAAAGAAATCTCGAGAAGTAAAAATAAATAAATAAATAAATAATATTTAATAATAATAGTCACTAATTTCCAAGTATTTTCTCTTGAGAATCGTAGTAGGTAAAAGTTACATATAGCAATGGATACAGTTGTGCCGTGTGTATACCATAACAATATGTTACATTGATCAGATGATGTGTAGTAAGTTGATCAATAAATTGTCACCAGGCCTTAGTAATTCTGTACAATTAGGAGGAAATTATTATATAATTTGATGGCACCTTCAAATAGTTCTGGATCTATGATAACGTTGTAGAACTTAAAAATCGTCATAAATCTGGAAACCTTGATGGATCTTCAACATAATTCGCAGGTACTTCAAAAAGTTTAGAATCTATATCATCTCGAAACTCAAAAGCCTGGAATGTGATCTTAGCAGACACTGTTGGCAGTATTGGAATATCTATATGAATAAATTAAAATGTAATTTCTATAATGTATAACGGTCTAGGAAACATATTGTTTTACACGTCTTGTTCAACAATAAATTTAAAACCCACTGTCACAACATACCTAATTTGACTGGAAACCCTGGTGGTAGTTTTAAATTCACAAAATCACGTAGTTTAGCAAAATGTTTAAATGGAGCAGTAACCTCAAGTACATCCATTAGCATAGCAACAGATAGAGGGAAATCCATACTCTAAAAATAAAAAATTATCACTCTATAACAGTTCTTCGCTAAAACAAAATTCGTTAAAATAAAAAATATATTGCCATAGCAACTGTTGCTTTAAATCCTCTTGTTGTGTTTTTAAAAACCATTTCTCTCGCTAGAGCTGGATGTTGTCCTGCTGGAGATGTAAAATACTCTTTCCATGTGCACATTGCAGGCATGGGAGGAAGGAGTGATTCTCGTCTTACAGGCTTAAAAATAAAAATAATTATGGAACAACACACCACTTGGATAGTCAAACATACTTTAAATATTAAGTTACTTACTTCCCCGTTGCAATCAATGCTAATAGCACATCCTCCTTTGGTTAAACTCTCAATGATTGCTTTATTTTTTTGTAGATCTTCTTCGGATAAGTGTTCCCTTCGTTTTTTCTGTTCTAATGTTAATCCATTTATATGATAAAAATCTGCATTAAAATCTCCAATGGTTTCCTGGATTTACAATTTTTAATTATTAAAGCTACAATTTAATAAAGTCAATAAACATGGTGAAATTATGTACCTACATTGAGTTAAATATAAATACTTTTTTCTTTTACTCTATAATAGATAATTTAGATATATTAGCATTTAGCTTATTAGATATTGATATAAAATTCAATATTTATTTACAACAAAATAGTTTTAGTAATGTTTTATGGTAGAATTAATTAAAATGAAACAATTGTTATAATATACATTCATACTTTTCTGTCTTGTCGAAATATCCATCCCGATTGGGCTCGAGAAAATGTTATTGATTTCGTAGACATTTGCGCAGTAACTATATCAGTACTCATCATTAAATCAACTTCATCTTCAATCTCTGATTCAGTTTCCTTTAAAATTTAGAATTATAATAGTATTTTTCATTATCGATAAAATTGTATACAAATATTAATTTTCTTACTAAATATCTGACTCTTTGGTAAACACCAGCTTTATTGTCCATGACAATAAGAGAATGTGGAGGTTTAGCATCACCATCAAACAAAAATGTGATTTCCCCACGTTCCCATTTCATATCATTCATAGCAAAATCTACTAATGTTGTATCCAATCTAAAAGATGTGCCTCTTTTATGAATCTGACAAAGATCTGAGGGTAGAACTCGAGAAACTAATGGCACTATAAAAAATATGAATATTTACCAATGAATATAAGTATTTTAAGACATTCAAATCAAAGTTAAGTAAAACTTATCAATATTTACCCCAACTTTGAAAGTCCCATTTTATTTGCATATAGAAATCTCCGACTTGTTTCAGTGCAGACACTAAACTAGGTCGCCTTTCTTCAATCTGTTCTCTTGCTTGGTGTTTCATTTTTTTCAATAACGATATAACTATAAATCAAAATTGAAAAAGTTTAAAATATCTTTTAAAACCCATATACATATTTATTCACAAATAATATTATAATAATATAATCAATAATTTGTTTTAATTACTGTTTCTCTTAAGAAATGTTTTATTTTACATTTTTTTCCTGGGGAGATTATTTTCATTATGTTCTTGAAAATACATTTATAGAATTATTTTACATGGTTTAAAGACAGATTTGATATTTGTAAGTTTTTGTACTTTGAATTATTTATCAGATAAATATTAAATATTTATAAATAATAAGTAAATATTTAATAAATAGGTCCTAGATAATATACAATAAGTAAATATAATAATATCTTTCTAATTTATCTGAATTAATGCATCTACAGATTTTTAATTTATTTTGATCAATAACCTTGAAAATAGTTCAAACAAAATTGCAATAGCTTGGTACTTTTATTTTTTGTAATAAATGACGCGTGACAAGTAAAACTAATAAACAGTAATTTGTTGTACCTTGTAAGTTATAACTATTCATAATATTTGCAGCAAGTTTTTAACCAAGGTTCAATGAATAAATATTGCACAAGCTATAATATTTAATTCTTCAAATGATTTAAATAAATAAGTACCAGAAAAAAAGTTTCTGTAAAACGACTGGACAAAAAGTCACTTTGAGTCTCAAAAAAAATACTATTCATAATATTAATTTAGTGCGTTCTAATATTCATAAGTAAAAAAACAATATATATAATAATAATTTAAAGAATACTTGGAATTAAATGTTATAACAAATGATAAAATTAATTTTGTGTATTGTAATAAAAAATCAATAAATAATAATAATAATTTTAAAAATATTTTGATTTAAATATAGAACATATTATAAAAAGATGGGCAAGTAGGTGTCACTCTGCTGTACAGAAAGTTACAAGTGGGTCACAGTAATAGATTGTGTTAAATTTGAAATCAATGATATGTATAAGAAAAACAATTCTAAGCGAAAATGGTCAGTCAGCCTATGATATTACTAAGTATATTTGATGATATTATTGTGAATAAAGTAATTTATATATAACCTATTTACGTGGAACATTGTTTTAAATTTTCAATCCTTAGCTATAAAAGTTGAACATTTTATGAGTTACACCAAAATTGATTTTGTGGAAAACCGATTTTGCGTAAAAATTCCCGTTTTTCCTTTATTTTTAAGTTGTTTTTCCCGGCGCTTTTGAAAACTATTGGGAATTTTGAAATTTGACCTCCCGAATGCACCAACTAGATTCACTTCCCCATCGATCAAGATACTGTTGAAGAAAATCGAAGCAGTTTTACTGCCTCAAACCGTGATGAAAAACACAAAAAAAAAAAACACACATCATTGTAAAATCAAAACATTCATCGTTCCACCCAGAATCTAAAATTAACGATAATGAAAAACTTTAAAAAGATCACTTTTCTTATGTTTTGCTCTATTTGTGTAAAAAGTTAAGAATTTACCCTTCCCCTACAAAAAAAATTTTAATTCTTGAGAACGCCACTGCTTAATACACTATAATGTACATATTTAGTAAATTAAAATATCATAATATAATTTATTAATATTATTATACTATGACAGAGCTGGGTACCTATTGGCTATTATGGCCACAAATCCACAATGAAATAAAATATGTTATAATACAATACAATATAAATATCATAGATAATTAAAATATAGCAGCTGATCCCGTGCACTTCGTTACCCGTTAAATGTATGTGAATGCCGCGGTGCATCCGAATTGCATGCGAAAAAAATAAATATAAATCGAGTCGTCCGAATTGCATGCCGTCTCTTGGAGGGGTCTGTCCGAATTGCATGCCGTCTCTTGAAGGGGTCTGTCCGAATTGCATGCCATCTCTTAGAGGGGTATATCCGAATACATAACTTACTTTTCAACTGGAGGATCGGGATTTTGTTACATTACAATAAAACATATAAATATTGTAGAAGGTGACACTGTGAATAAGAATCATAAAAATATAAAACTATTTTTTTTTCATCGACAACAAAGGCCATTAGTTAAATAAAACTATTGTAGTTTAGAGTTATCAAGTGAGTGTATTTTAAATAATATTATTGTTAAATTTGGTGGTTTTTTTGACATTTCGGGCATGCAATCCGGACAAAGCCCTCTAAGAGATGGCATGCAATTCGGACAGACCCCTCCAAGAGATGGTATGCAATTCGGACCGACCCCTCCAAGAGATGGCACGCAATTCGGACAAAGCCCTACAAGAGACGGCATGCAATTTGGACATTTTTTTTTTTTGGCATGCAATTCGTATGCAGCCGAAAGCCGAGTCTGTCGACCATTATTTCCTCCTCGTCCACGAATACGTGGCATCGTGTCCATCGTGATTGTTTTATGTACCATGTGCGTAACTTACATGCATAAGCGTGCGCACGGGGTAGTCATGGTAGGCACTTGACTACTCTGCGAACTCCCCCTGGCCCCCTCAATATTCAATATTATTATTATGATAATTGATAGTCAATCATAAAATACTTTTTTACTTTGGTAAATTTAGTTAAATGAGGTTACCCCATCCAAATTAGTTTTTATAACTTAGGTGCGTGAATATGCATATTATATATTATACATAATATGTGTGTATGTTAAAGTGTTGTGTACTTATATATGACTACCCTGTCAGAAATTCTGCGCACGCTTATGCTTATATGTGAGTATAATAATCTCAATATTTACGTAATTGTGACACGTAACACAGCGTACAAAAAAATTAAATGCATTGAATGAATACACTTATTCCACGGCAACCAATAATAGTTTATAATAGTTTTAAAACCCATGGCAACCATTTATAAATAAAAATTTCCTACGTAAATATCTAAATCCCCGTTTGAGCACATCCCCTGGTTGGATCTAAGGTGATCATTTGTAGCCTATGTGTTATTCTGATGTATAAGCTATATTATTGTTAAGTTTCATTGAAATCCATTCAGTCGTTTTTACGGGAATGAGTACCAAAGTCACAGACTTTCGCATTTATAATATTAATAGGAATATAGGATTAATTAATTATACACCATGACCATCTATGATTAAATATAGGTCATGAGTGTATTAAGTTTAGCCACGTTTAACTACTCACAGATTTCCATTGGTAATTTTCCAACGTTAATAGTACATAATATTACGAATTTTATTTCTGGTAACACTGGTAGTATATTATCAATGTTATCAGCCGACAGTTTTTTACTGAGATAATATTATGGTATTATACATTTATACAGTATAATAATAATATGATCTAAGGTTTTTTAGTTGTAACTTGTGAAAATGTGAATTACCGAAATCACATCATACCTATTCACAAAATTGTTGTAATTTACAATTATTCAAGCATTTCACATTTACTCTCGTCTCTCCGACTTTGGAATTAACTTTTTACTATTTATAAATTAAATTGTTCAATTTACTAAATACTATATTTTTTTCGAAATGTGAAAATTTAATTAGTATGTATCTTTCTCCATAAACATTTATAGTTAGCATAATAATATTTTAGTTGAGTTTATGCATACAAAAAACAGGGCTAAAATTGTAATAATTCAAATTTCAACATGAACAGTCTACGAAAGATAATACCACAATGCTCTAAACAAGCATTTCCATGGAAAAGGTTCTATTCAAATTCAAAAGATTTATCAAAAGACGAAAACAAGATTTTGTACGAAAAACTTTTAAATAAAAACTATAATAATGAAAAACACACGGAAGCGAGCTCTTTTACCAAATGGTTAACACCTCATTATAAATTTGGACCTCCACGCATCATGAATTATGATTGGTCAATAAAAAGCATTCATTCTTGGTACAAGCGCAAAAGAGTTGAATTTCACAAGTACAATCAACGTTATGTTACTGAACGAGTAAAATCACTTGGAAGTGATATAGCTGTAGCACATTTTATTGTTTATCGAGGCGGTGCTATCAGATTTCGAGGGCAAGAGGACTTTATCAGATGGAATAATAAAAAAGAAGAGTACCATGTCAATTTACCACTAACTTACGACCCAAATTATTTTGTTGAAGCTATTGACGCACCAGACCTAATGTTTTATTATGAAGGATTAGAAAACTTTAAAAATTTATTCAAATTGAAATGGCTATGTATAAGAAATAATCCAGTTCTGGACAATTGGTGCCTGGATTACATAGGGCATGCAATACCTAGCTTGGAATATTTGGATATTTCCAATTGTCCTCAAGTAACAGCAGGTGGTATAGCTGCTCTACAAAAGCTAACTAAACTCAAAACATTAGTGATAAATAACAATAATATAGAAGTCCAAATGGCATGCTTTGCGTTGGAAGATATAATTCCTGGGTTATTTGTCGTCATTCAAGAGAGCAATGATGTTAAATTACAAACAAAAAAAGAAAATCTAGATGTTAATGAAGTATAGTAAAAATAATAATTGCATTGTTTAAAATAGTAAACTAGTTATTTTTATTGTTAACAATAACGCTCTAGTTTTAGCTTGATTTAATAAAAAAATGCATATTATATATTATTGTTTGTATCTTAATCTGTTCTTATTTTTGTTCAAACTAAGTTTATTATACATGTTTATAAAAATAATAATTTATAAAACTCATATTTAACTTATTTTAGGATAATACTCAATGGGATATAAAAACAAAAAGTATTGGCAAAGTTTGTTGAATTATTTGTGGGCATAATTGTCCACTACTAAAGAGAAGTTTAAATTATAAGATGTAATGGTAAAATTTAAATATAAAATAACATACATAAAGTTATACCAGGTTTTTGTATTGAATATTTCAGTTTTATTTTTACTAAATATGCATAAATATATTTAGCCTATTATAGCTTTTTAAGTAAACAGTAAATAATGTGTAGTTTTGTCCATTTGGTTAAACATAATCGAAATAGAAATTTAAATACTAATGAACATTAGTTTATCAAGAAACAATTGTGGTAAAATAAATACCTAGCTCAATCAGTGATTTTAATTATTACAGTAATAATAATATTACTTAATATTAAATTTCACTATCATAACTTGAATTGTAATGAAAGTTTGTACTTTGTATTCATATTTATTCTAACTTGTACATAACTTTGAGTTGAAAAAGATTGTATTATTTAATATTTATTAAATGACTTAGTTTGAAAAAAAAAATTTCAGGAGATTGTCAAGACGTTAATTATAAAGATTAATATAAATTATAATGTAATGATTTAATTTCAATAATAAATTAATATAATTATTTGATTTTTTATATTTTATTCATCTATCAACTAATATGCAATACCTATATAATAATGTTTACACTAAAGTTATAATATTAGGTACCTAACCTATGTTAGGTTACTCAAATACGATGACATACCCAATTTTATATAAATAAGTTATTCTCAAATTAATAAAAACAAACTATTATCATAGTAAATAGTAATTAAGCACCAAAAATCTATAATAACTTATTTCATGTATATCTTACACTGCATTGATGAATATTTTAATTCAAGCAATAAATTAACTTACTAGTAAGACGATCTCCATAGCTAATTGCTTCAGACAATGGGGTCCATCCATTTATGTTTTTTACTTTAACTGGTGCATTGTGAGCGAGCAACAATTGTACTATATCTGAAATGTATTTCAGATGAGTAAACAGTGTTATTGAGCAACAGGCGGTAATGAGATACAATCGGTTGGTGTATTATAGATAATAATATCTCGTTTTCATCTCACTGCCAACAACCAACCTACCTTTACGACCTAGCATGATGGCCAGATGCAGTGCCGTATTACCTGCAACAAACAAATGTAATGATGAATCAAGATATTCTGTGGTCACGTAGCATACGTAACATAGGTAATAAGTAATTTTGGTTGCTACCAAGACGCCATCGTACCGTGTTTGTCTTTTCTCGATAGATCTTCAGTCCTCATCATCCGTGAGAACTTCTGTACATCACCCTCGAACACGCATTCGTGCAGAGGATACGACAAGTGCTGTTCTTCCGCCATACCACTGCCGCCGCTCTTCAGAATGTCGTAGACCAATTATTATTAATTATTCCGTGAGCATAGCGTTTCATATTATTATTATATTGTTATTGTGTTGCTGTCTGTAGTCATATTCGTCTACATTATAATATTAATTGACAATTTGTTATTGTGAGTTCGCCGTTTGTACGGTGTAAAAAAAAATTATTATCAATGTTATTCCAACGTCCGAAGCAGTGATAACAAAATCACGGAATAAATTAAAAATACGTAGACGATGCACGGCTGATAAGAACGAAACCACTACATGTGATAACGTTCAGTTTTATATTTTTGTTGATTTGACAATTTAGTAAGTTGTCGAGGTCATCTAAGTACGCGCAGCGTGAGGGCCAAAGTCCCATCCTCGCGCTCGGCTGTGCGCATGGCGGAACAGTTCACAACTTACTGTTATTACTCAACCACGGTACACGACGTCCTCACTCGGTCATCCCTCAGTCCTCATTTATCAGACAGTCTGACGCTTTAAACTTTAATGCAGTGGTCTAAGGGTATTCGTTTCTTCAATTTTTTTTTTAAAAAATACCCACTTTTTTTAAATAAATGTTATGTACTTAAAATGAGTTCGCGGGACCAAAAGACAAGGTGGGCCGTGAGCGGAAGTCAGAACCCTTGGTTTAATATATGTTGATAAATTTGACGCTATCGGGGCAATTTATACGATGCCGCTCTTCGTTGCTCTCTTACATATCGCAAAATACTAAATTATTGATAACCCACGCACTCGTATTTATTAAATATTTATATTTGTAGCAATTGTGGTTAAGAACTTTTCTTTTAGTCTTTAGAATTAATATTGTTTTCTAATAATTTGTTTATACATTATAAAGCGGTTCTGTCTTAAAATTTAACGAAGTATTTTAAAAATCATTTGTACAATAATATATTGATTTGCCGTTAATGCCGTATTCGTATTATATTCAATGCTGGAATTGGGGAAAAAAATAGGACGAGGATGCAAAAGTGTAAACAATATGTGCGTATGTACCTGAATATTGAAATATCTTATTGATTTGGATATAACTAGAAGGGGTGCGCATAAATATTTTCTACAAAGAAAGGGGACTCCAACCCCCCGAGTCCCCCACAATTCAAGCATTTATTATATCACTATGATATATAAGGGTACCTAATACCTATATAAACTTGAAATTACAGATGTTACAATAATATAGGTACTATATAATTGAGACATTGAGTATATTATATTTAATATAATATATTTAATTTCTAGATCAGCTGGTCTAGGTAACCTACAATAAGCCATGGAATCTCTACTTTTTAAATTAGTGACATTTAAATATTAGCAGAGACCTGGGGTCACATATACTCACATACAAAGGCTTAGCCCACGCATGTATAAAAATTATTGTGAGCCTCCAATCCACAGTGGTTGAGACGCTATGGAGGTTCAAAAGGAAAAAAATAGATTCTATTAGGTAAAAAATGTATTTTAAGTACTATTGTATACTTCACGAGGTTTTACGTACAAGACAAATTTAAAACAATTGTACTTTTGTTAAAAATCATACAAACACGTTAACTGTCATGAAATAATAATAATTACGGATTCCGTTCTTTGGGTTTTTACTAACGAAGATACAAAGTAATAATATACAATTATATTATTATTATTATTATTATTATTATTATTATAATATTAATACATAACTAAAAGTTAAAACATCATAGGTAGGTACACGCATTCAGAAGTTCACTGAATTTTACAGTTAAATATAAGAGATATAGAGATGTAATAATAATCAGACCAGCTGATGTTGCCCATCAAGGAAACTGTCCCAATGTTTTGGAATAAGTTCTTCATAAATTTAAAAAGCAATGAGTTACGTACGTATGTAGATGTACAGTATGTATTGGGTTTACTCAGAGGCGGATAGTGGCTTGGACGACCAGCGATCGCACCCTTTACTAAAACGAAAGAAAAGAAGAATTTTTATAAAAATTGCAATTTTTGAGTAATAGTTTATTTATAATCATTTTGTCGTGAACAACATTGAATTTTTTCTCTCGAAAACTATAGAAGCGTAGAGGGTACTCATGCAAACACATGTAGAATTTGGACCAAAATTATCGTCGTCCGAGCTGCTCTGAATACGCACTACATTATAAATTTATAAGCAAAGAGCGAAGGCACATTAATTGTGTGCGTGCGCCGTGTGTGTATAGGTACGTTGAAACCGCGATCTTATAATATACGCGTTTTGGGTGAACGGCAGTGCCTAACCAGTGTCTAAAGTCTAAACATAATATGGTAAAATATTAGTATATAGTACGCATGACAAAAATTTTTTTGTCATGATAGTACGTAATTTATTTTTTAAATCAACTACATATAGGTGCGTGCGTCATTTTCGGTTGCTATTGTCGATTAGTATTTTCAAACATTTTAATATATTAATTTTCTATCAATATTTCTATTTAAGTATAATAGTATACTACAATTATCATACATCTTATGAGTTATGACATAATATTATCTATAGATATTTCTTTTCTGCTTTGGCCACTTTATTAAATATCATTTAATGCTTAAAAGTAATATTATATTTTGTGTTATACCTGTATTAGATTCTGAGCGGAGCAAGGAAGCTAGTGGTTTTACAATGGTGTTAAGTTATTTATTTATTTTTTTTATATCTTGTATAAAAAATTTCTACCAGAAGAAGTGCTTAGATTTCAACATATTGTACCTTATCCTATAGCAATTTCGATCAATATGGTACTTTAGAGAGGTCATTTTTCGATTTTATCAACAGTTATTTAATGCCACGGGAAAAACCACTGAAAAATTACGAAAAACCACTAAAAATGGGGTTTTAATTTATAACCATAGAAACGAATGAAAAATAATAATATTATAATATTAATTCAACTTGCATGATATTATAATAAATAATAACAATATAAAATATCCAGACTGACAAACCGTCTCCACTAAGAATCGTATTTCTTATATAATGAGATTCTATCATTGAATTCAAGTTTAATACAATCCATTATACAATGACCCACTTGTAACCTACTGTACAGCAGAGCGACATCCACTTACCCGCTTTTTTTTTAAATTTGTTATACTGACTAGAGATATTATATTAAAGTTACACCCTTACCAAATACCAACAGCAACCAGGAGCCGTCACTGTGCCTACTACTTTAATACAGTAATCAACCAATATTGTAATCATGTTTTTAAAAGCTATTTATATTTTTTCATAATTCAAAATTATATATTATTATTGTTTTTTTTTAAATTTTGTTCTGATTACAAGTAAAATATTTGCAATATGAATGTGAATGTACGAAATTATTTTTTATCAATACAAAATGATTAGACTGTTAACATTTGTATTATTGAAAATACCTTAATTTGGTTAGTTGTTACTTTATATATTATATAGATCTTGCCATCTGGGAATATCATGTTAAGAACTACAAGTCGTCATAACTTATAACTATATTAATAAATCTGGACAGGATATATTATAAGGCTTGTTTTTGGGGAGGTAATGAAACCATTTACTGACTGTTTACTGATACGGATATGAAGTTTCTTCATTGTCAAAACGAAAATGTATTATCAAGGATGCCAGAAACACTAAACCGTTGACAAAGTCAGTTAGTGCTAGGATCAAACACTTAAGTAAACAGTTAACAGTTTTGACATAAAATTATCGCCAAAACAATTTTTAGTTAACCGTATGCTCTGGGTACCTCCGCGAAAATGCTTTTATAGGTGCTTAAATTATGATAACACGGCGTCTTGTATAGGCAAATTAGCTACACGCCTGTCGAGGATCCATTTATTGGTTATATATTTTTATTTTATTGGTTCAATAATTAATGTTCCTACATTTTTTAACATTATAGGTACTATGTCCAGTGCAGCGTAATATTAGTTGAGTTCCAAAGATAACTATTAACTACGAAAAAAGGTCTAATCCAAATCGTGGCCCGAATTTTTTTGCGTCATATCTGAGTTGCGGCCCGATTAATATTTGACATATCTGTTATACGTCATACCTATATAATATTATTATTGTTCCTAGTTCGATAATAACGACAGCCAGCAGTCATAACGTAGGTTTATAAAAATTATAAAATCATATGTATTTTTACTAGTTCCAGATGATTTTCTATCTAGACTGATAAATAGTTCACTGTTTAATAATGATAGTAAATGTATATATTTTCTACCGGCGAGAACGTTTCACCGCTAACCGATTTCTTTTCTAGGGATAGGTTAAACACACAAAATATATTGGAAAAAGAAACTTTTATTTTTAATACTATGAAACAGTTAAAAGAAAACCAAATTGACAAACTTGAATTTATAAAAATAATCTCATACAAGTTTTTACTTGTGTCATTATAAAATGAAAATTAAAAAAATAATATTTTCAACCTACCTGTAGTACTGATGCTACGACAGTCCTTATATATACATTTAAATATAAAAATATAGAAAATCTAATATAGAAAAAATTAAAAAATGAACAACAAGTTTTTTTTTAAATAATTTGTACATATAATATCTGATAATTTTTTTTTTCAGTTCATAAGTTTTTATTCAATCTGTTACGAAAAAGGGAACAATAAGAACAAGTTATGGTAAGTATAGGTTAAAATAAAAAGGCAGATTATTAAACAGACTGTAGAGGCCTCCCAGTGGAGGTACTACGAGTCTACGACACGAGTCAGACTTTATATAGTTAGGCTAGCAGGTCAAGACTCCAATGTCTTTTAAGTCTTTTAATTGAAGGGATAGAAGCAGATATAAGCAGAATATCTGTTAATGAAATAATAATTAAAGCATTATCTTAATGGATTGTCCGATGCAGTGTTGGGAAATATCTAGATAAATTTATCTAGATAACTTATCTAGATAAAAATTATTTATCTTTTATCTTATCTAGATAAATTTCTACTCAGTTATCTTTATCTTCATCTAGATAAAATTCTAGTTATCTATGAGTACTTATCTAGATAATTTATTTAAATAAACTAAAAAAAAATTTGAAAATTTAAAATATTTTTTTTTTCAACTAGTACATAGAAAACATGTTTAATAATACGTATTATAATACCATGATTTTAATATTTATTAATATTCATTGTTAGTCAGGAGTTTTACATCGTAAACAATGATTGTAAGAACAACTAATAATAGCAAAAACAAAAATATCTATCCCTGCTACCCACCGGCCACCACCGAATGATGATGGTCTCATTAGCTGATACCCTTTTCATAGAATTGTGTACAAAGTATGAAAAATAATTATTGTTTTAAGCCGACAAAAATAAACCAACATTCATGGATATTGGACTCACAAGCATAATAATATAATATCATTATTATTTATAACAATTTAATATTTATAAAACCCTATTAGAATTCCTGGTATTTTAGTTATCGCTTAACCGATCTGTACGACCTCTGTCCTCTGCTGTAGGCGCAATAAAATAAACAGTATACAAAAATTGACAAGTATATATTTTGTGACTGTTATTGACTAATTTTCTCACTTCTCAGTGTGTATCGTGTGAGTTGTGACCTGTGTTTCGTCGTCGGTAAAATTTATTGTAGAACTGCATACAGTTACGATTATTATTTTTTATTTTTTTCATTTAATTATTTTATTCATGAAACAGTTTGTCCAAGTTTCAAATGGTGGCCCGTCCAAGATCCTAAAAAAAGATGATTCAAGTACTCAAACCACTGAATCAACCAACCACCTGATAAATACTTCTAAACTGAAATATTTATTTGATGGATTTTAGATTCTGAGTGAAACGATAAATGTATTGATTTTACAATGATGTGTGTTTTTTTTCTTTATTTTTTTTTTTATATTAAATTTTTTAATTTTTTTTGTGTCTGTCATCACGTTTTAGGATAGTAAAAGTGCTTGAATTTTCTTCAACAGTAGCTTTTCTGATAGGAAAGTGAATCTAGTTGGTACTTTGGGGGGGGGGGGGTCAAAAGTAAAAATTTCCTAGTAGTTTTCACAAGCGCCGGGAAAAACAACATAAAAATTAAGGAAAAACGGGAATTTTTACGCAAACTCGGTTTTCCAAAAAATAGATTTTGGGTTATGATTAACTCTAAAACAAATGAACGTATATACATGAAATTTTCACTGGTTGTTTATATTTGCATTTTCTATACACGATAACATTTTCAAAATATTTTGATTTATTTTGAACTGTTTAGGGACATTTTAATTTTCTATTTGTTTTCAGTTTTTTTTCTAAAAATATCAATAAAATTCTATTTGTTGGTTGCGAAAGCTTGAAAATTTAATAGAAGGCTCCTAGTATATTTTTTCAAAGGCAGATGAAAAATATTAAAAATACTTAGTCACAGTTTTTTTTATAAGCATTTAAAGTTCAAAAATTGACAAAATATGGAAAAATCACGAAAATTAGCAAATTATTTTGAGTTAAGAATTCGTAAAAATTTTTCTTTTTAAATCTAAGATTTTAAAATGTGATACAAGATTCCTTATAAGATTATCTACCTTTATCAAAAAAAAAAGATCTATAAGAAAGTCAAATTAAATTTTTATGAGCGTTTGAAATTAAAATTTTTACAACATTGGATATTCACTCGATTTCTCATGTAGCGATTTCTTTATTTTGTTGTGATTCAAAAACGAATAACTGTAGATACATGCAAATTTCACTGAATGTTTATATTAGCATTTCCTATACACCATACAATTTTGAAAATATTTTGACTCTTTTTGAGCTGTTTACGGATATTTACAGCTTTCAGTTTTTTTTCTTTTTTTTTCTTTTAATATCAATCAAGTTTTATCTTTTGAGCCAAAAAGTGTAAACATTTAATACAAGGCTCTTGATATATTGTTACAATAGCAATTGAAAAATATTAAAAATACATAGGCACAATTTTTTTTTATAAGCATTTAAAGATCGAATTTTGACAAAATTTATCAAAATTAATCGAAAATTATCAATCATTGTTATTAATAAATTATAAAATGTTCAATTTTTATAGCTAAGGATTACAAATTTAAAACAAAGGTTCTCATAAATAGTTCATACTGTAACCAAAAAATCTAAAAAATATATGAAAACAGTTATTTTTTACAGACATTTTAAATTCAAATTTGGACGAAATTACATAATAAAAAACCTAGAATAACTATTTTAGTTATTTTGTTGTGATTGTATAATATTATTCGTGGGTACTTGAAACATCTAAATATACTACTATATATCTATGATATCATCAGGGTTTGTTGTTGGTGTATAACGCGTTATAAGTACCTAATGGATATTGTGATATGATTAATTTGGAATTTATTATAGATAGGTTACCTATTATAGGTCAAATTTTGGTTTAGTACCATAGATATGTATATAATAATATGTCTTATACCTAGACTGACCTGACATACCGTCTCCGCCCAGAATCGTTTTTCTTATGCAATGATCTTATGCAAATAATCTTATAGATAAAGATAAATACATCAATTATCTCATATTTATCTAGATAAAAATGTACTAATTTTTATCTTTATCTAGATAAAACTTAGTATAATTATCTTTATCTGTATCTAGATAAAAATTATTACAGTCATCTTTATCTTTATCTAGATAAATTATTAGTTATCTATTCCCAACACTGTTAATATCAATAAGTATAATATTTTATCGGTAGATTTATTATTCTGTATAGCCTGTAGGTTATTATTTTCATCAAATATTGATAAAATCAATTAAATTAAGTCAGTAGTCAGTGTAATGTTGATGATGAATAACAATATTGTATGTTGTCTGAAACCTCGATATTATTGATGGATGCCTGATGTGTAGTTTTATGTAGGCAGTTGATTAACATTAATTTAAACTGCATGTCTATATAATATACAAAGTTGTATTTAACAATGTATTATAATTTAATATATGGGAATAAATTGTGTTTACATGTATATAATTCTGGGTAATAAATATCAATAAATTAAATAATAATAAAGTAGGTATTTAAATTAATAATGCATTTCATTTTAACGCATTAAAGAAATTAAATTAATACATTTTACCTACATTTTGCACATGTATTGACTACATTCAGTAACAGATCCCGTAAATGATTCTTTAAAAACTTGTGCCAATTCATGTTTTGAAATAATTGTTTTGGCCATGCTGCAAATTCAAAAAAAAAAATCGTATAAATAGTAAAACATTTAGCAGTACATAATACAGTGCACGTGCGCATATAGGTATTGCATTCTACAGAATTATTAATTTCAAAAGTATTGCATTTCGGTAATAATCTATACGATCTTGTATTAGTAACGATTCGGCAGTCCTGCATATTATATCAACGAACATATGCATTAACATACCTATAAGATATATCACCCTATGGATATACACGTATACACATATACACATTACAAGCATTAGATACACATCGTGGACGTTTTATAAAAAATCACTATCTAAGTAATTTTCCAAAAACGTGCATGTTACATAGGTACCATACTACCATAAAACGTACATAAATATTTATATTATATATCGTATATTCCGATGTTCGTGAAAACTGTGTAGTGTATATACACTTTATAATTCAGTCACTTATATTATTCAGAACCATATACATATTTTAGAATTCTGTCTGCGGGAGATTGATGATCAAATAGTCTATAATTACATGTCCCGCAAACAGAATTCAAAAATATGTACTGGATTATGAGAAATAAAGTATATGGGTAATTTAATTATACAGTGTACCCTGTTTTCGTTGACACTCAGTATATTGTGACTTTACATATATATATTGTTACTTTACAATTGGCATTTTGGCCGTAACATTTTTTGCAGTGTATAAGAGTCACGGCAAATGTACCACTTTAAAGGCAATAATATTTTAGACGTAAGTAAAAGGACAAGATTAAAAAATAAATGTCACCTTCTTCAAACACCCACAAAAGTCGTTATACCAGCGATTAAAATATAAAATAATTATATTTATAACTTATATGATAGATAATGATGGTATACTATACGTATTATTACCGTCGAGCAGAATGAGCTACGGGACTGCTGGCCAATTGAAGTCCGGCCTCGCAGACAATTCTCTGAAAACACGGTATGTCAGCGGTAACAGCGTCGTTGACTGCCGAAGTCAGGGCGTCTAAATATCCGGTTATCTGACGACCACCCACGGAGAAACGGCCGTCGTCCACGACGTGTTCCTTCATCATGGCGTATACATGAATGTAATGCGCTATCCTGGGCAACACTGACGTCCGGAACAGGTACGACGCAGCCATAAAGAAGCCGGTGGCGAACAGCGGATCGAATACCCTGTCCAACAGGAACCGACCTACCGCCGTCAACCGGCTGCACAGCGGCGAGTATCCGTCCAACGGCGGTGGGCCGAATATCGCCTTGCCGAACAGCAACCGCTGCAGCAGACCGGAAACGGGGAAAACCGGATGTCCGGACGGGTGAAGGTGTTGCGGAGGCGGGGGGCCGAACTGCAACACTCCATCCCCGGCCTCGACGTATGGCCCGACCGCGGATAACGGCTGCTGCAGCAGCTGCTGGACTCCGGCCACTTCCGGTTCGCTGAATGTCCCAATGCCGCCGCCGTCTACGACGAAACCTCCGGCCGACGGTCTGAGCACCACGCTACCGCCGCTGACGACGACCGGACCACCGCCCTTAACCGCGACTCCGGTCACGTCGGTTAGTGCTGCATTAGAATAACCGCCGCCGTCGCCGTGGTGCACCCCGGATGACTCGGTGGTTCTCCATTTGTCGTTGTCGTATACATCCGGTAACGAATGATAACCACCACTTCCGGGGTTTTGGAAGTTGTCGGTGCCGTACGGTTTTCCAGCTGCAGGTGGCCGCTGTTGCACTTCGGAGTATTCGTGGTAGACGTTATTGGCCCCGTGTGATTGACAGTTTGCCTTCTGCAGTACGATGCACAAGCAAACGACAACCGACATTATCGTCCCTGGAAAAATACGGTAGGATTTAATCGGGTATTTATTTTTTCGTACAAAACATTTTGCAGATCATAGGCGTGTTCTGTGACATAATTATTTCATTACTATCATTTCTTGTTAATCTACTAATTATTACAATGTATGATGTATCTATAAATTGCCGTTTGGCGTTAAATAAATAAATAAATAATGCTTTGGCGCTATAATATTAAATTTTAACTAGCATCGACACATCGTACTGCGTTCGCAATTGAAATGAATTCACAATTTGTCTTCCCAGCAGTGGGAATAACTGTATAATTACAAACGGATTTAAAGGAACGCTTCTTTGGCAAGGGTCAAATATCACTCAAGTAAATTTTAGTTCAGGTATACCAGTTACCCAAGAGTCGAAATGCATTGTTGTTTGATACCTATGTCCTATATTACCCAATAACACTATACAGACTACTTGAATATACCAAATTAATAATTATAAAACAATCCCTAGCAAAGCTTACCTTTCCAAACATCAGACGAATTCCTCATTTTATTATATTTAGAATTTAGGTATTAACTAAATAACTGACCGAAAACACTGCAGAAAACAATAATATACGATTAATAGAAATATATTAGGTACCTAATAAACCCTGTTGAGGTTTGACGAGCGTTATACTTCAAATTGTCTATAGTTTCCTTTAATAATGACGACCATACTTCTTTCGGTTTTATATAAACTTAAATTTAATGTGATTAGATGATAATTAATACCAGCTAAATCGTCGTTGACATTATTTTCTAATGTTCTTTAAACGACGGTCTTAATTAAAACTAAATGCTTTGCAAAAGGAATACAAAATAAAAATTAGGATTTGGTATATAAAATGCATTAAAACTATTAATACGACATAAATAGGTTACAACTTATAACCGTTAGGTATATATTATTTTAGGCTATTTGTCTTGTAATTTAGAAATTAAATTAAGTTATCATATTAACATTCGTTCGAACCCGTAAATAGCAATAGAAAGCGCGTAGGTAAATATTTTTGCAATCATTAGCTAAATAACATAATATTATTATGTGAAATTATACAAAAACCTAACATGTATGTATCGACTGTTAGACATTTTACCCAGCCGTTCATTAGGGGATTTGTTACCTTAATTTTTTTTAAATGTAGAAATGTATTTTTTATCTATATTATATACTATTTTAATGATTATAAATTATAATTAAAATAGTACCACTATTATATAAATATAGGCCTATTCTTAAGTTTCCGTGGAATAATTATGAATTAATATCACGGCTATAATTTATCAGTGAATAATATAAAAGGTATGAAAATGGCACTCGGACACCCAGTGCATAGGCAGGATTATGCAAGGGGGGGGGGGGGTTAAGTATGAATTAAACTAAGTTCAGTTGTGAATATACAATATTATAATTATATATTAAAAATAACTCAATATGAAAACGATTTATTTTTTATTTGTTTATTATACATAAAAAAAACCAAATAGTATTAATAATAATATATAATTTCGTCCAAATTTGAACTTAAAATGACTATAAAAATAAACTGTGCTAACGTATTTTATAGATTTTTTGGTAACAGAATAAATTACTTACGTGGAATCTTGTTTTAAATTTTCAACCCTTAGATATAAAAGTTGAATATTTAAACATTTTTAACTACAAAATAATTATTCAATTTTAAATTTGATAAATTTTGTAAAAATTCGATCTTTAAATGCTTATAAAAAAAAAACCGTGCCTATGTATTTTTAATATTTTTCAATTGCTATTGTACCAATATATCAGGAGCCTTGTATAATATTTTACACTTTTTGACCCAAAAGATAAAACTTTATTTATATTCATAGAAAAAAAAAAAAATAAAAAAATTGAAAGATGAAATTGCCCGTAAACAGCTCAAAACAAGTCAAAATATTTTAAAAATGTTATCAAGTATAAGAATTGATAAAATAGGTACACATTCAGTGAAATTTTCATATATCTACAGTTATTTGTTTTTAAATTACAACAAAATAAGAAAATCACTACATGAGAAATCGAGTGAATATCCAATGTTGTAAAAATTTGAATTTCAAACGCTCATAAAAATTTAATTTGACTTTCTTATAGACATTTTTTGGGGGGTAATGGTAGATAATCTTATAAGGAATCTTGTATTACATTTTAAAATCTTAGATTTAAAAAGAAAATATTTTACGAATTCTTAACTCAAAATAATTTGCTAATTTTCGTGATTTTTCCATATTTTGTCAATTTTTGAACTTTAAATGATTATAAAAAAAATTGTGACTAAGGATTTTTAATATTTTTCAAATATCATTGGAACAATATAGTAGGAGCCCAGGCTAATGAATATTGTGATATGATTAATTTGGAATTCATTATAGGTACCAACAATAGGTCAAATTTTTTTTTAATACCGTAGATAAGTATATAATATTATGTCTTATACCTAGATTGATATTCCGTCTCCGATCAGATTCGTTTTTCTTACACAATGATATTATTATATCATTGAATTCAAATGCAATACCATCCATTATACAGTGACTCACTTGTAACTTGCTATACAGTAAAGCGACATCCACTTGTCCACTTACTGTACAGCTGAGCGACATCCACTTGTCCGCCTTTTTTTATCCATCTCCGCCGTCGAGCTCGCATCCTCTTGCTCCGCCGGCCGAATCACGTTCGTCCGCATATATTATAGTACACTGCCCTAAGCCGTCGTCGTCGCGGCCCGACGAGAACGTGGCCGGGTCACCGCAGAGGCCGATCGCGTCACCTCGGATCGGCCCTATAACGCCCCTGTCAGCCAGCCCGCCGCTAGTCAAATCTTTGTCCTTGCTATGTCTCTTTATATAGGCGCCACTCCAGTTCCACGGAATGGACATTCTCCGGTGATCAATTTAACTAAACCAGAATGTTCTCTTGTAGTGAAAATAATAAATTTTAAAAACTTTAATATAAATAAACAATTCTCGTTACTATTGTCCAAGATATTATTATGTATAGTATTACGTCATTATTTAACATTTTATTTCGTTTTTAGAATTTAAAACGCGTACCCCAAGTTAGAGGGTATCAACACTGGTGGGCCTCCCTCCTCACGCCATTCATGTTATGTACCATAAAGTTTTTTTTTTGCTATCAAATTTACTTATTGTTGTACATAAATATTACAGATTGTAAGTACTCTATTTTTATCTAATAAAAAAAAAAAAAATTAAAACGGAAAAGTTGTTTATTCAACTATATCCAAGATGCCTATATCATATTCCTATGTGCAAAATATAAACTCCGAGACTTCACATTGACATCTCATTATGTAGTGAGATGTACAAGGTTTAAAGCCTATAGGTGTCTCAGAGAATCTAATATGACGCTTAATGTCCAAACCAGGCGCGCACCCAGAATTTTTGCTTGGGGGGGGGGCTTAATAATTTTTATTTTTCCCTTACACACAAGTAAACAATTAAAACTAATTTTTAAATAACCACTTTGGTTTATTATTATCATATGTTGTATAATATGTTATATTATTATGTATTTAATATTTATATAATTATATTTATAACTAAATATTATGACAAATTAATTTAAAATTTAAGTTTCCTGGGTCCCTTTTCAGAAAGAATTTTTAATACTTCGGATTCTTAATAATACTAACATACTTAAGAAGAGTACTACTAGTACCAACTTCAGGTGTCTTTCGTTTTTGACTCATTTTAACTCAGCTTTTTTTTTACTCATACGCACATTCGACACAGGCTATCACAAAGAAAAAATCGAACAGACTGAATTATCTAAACGAGATTTTCATGCCACAGACAGTCGAAAGTCATAATTATCATTGTTATCGTAGTTAACAATCAAAGTCGACCGTACGCACGGACTAAGATATAATGGACTGGAAACGACAAGGTGGGCGGGTGACGGGGGACGGCCCGCAAAAGGTGTCTCTGTTATCATCAACACTCATAATCGAATGTTTTCAGCGCTACCAGTGGTTTTATTTTGCGTCACATTTTGTATCTCAGTCCATGTTTTATACAGAGGGCGCTGTAAACTCTCGATTATGGTTGCGACCCCCCGCATTTGCTTCTTGTACATACTTTCGAGGCCACTGATAAGCTGCTCGTTTCCAGTCCATTATATCTTAGTCCGTGACCGTACGTAACAAGGTTTATAGCTTAGATCATATACTATGGATGGAGCCACTGCGTATTATAGCAATACAAAAAGTTGAAGCCGATATTAGCGACGAGTCACCGAATTAGGTGATCGATATGCGCATGCGCGAAACAACTCGTTTAATATTAATATTATAATCACCAGCTGATAAATATGCGAGAGGTTGCGTTGCACATGCGCATATCGAACACCTAATTCGGTGACTCGGCTGGGATGGGGACAGTTATAATATTAATATTAAACGAGTTGTTTCGCGCATGCGCATATCGATCACCTAATTCGGTGACTCGTCGCTAATATCGGCTTCAAAATAATATGCAGTGGCTCCATCCATAGTATATGATCTAAGGTTTATAGATAATATATATCAGCTATCATCTATCTATCTATAATATATATCTATTAACTATAAACCGTGCGTTATAGGGTAATCGTTATAGGGTATAGTATCTATAAATCTAAAAATAATTTTCAAAAATCGACGATAGCCACCATAGAGTACTTATATTGATTGTCACAAACCTTATCGCGTATAGTATTGAACTATTATGTATATTATATTATATATGTGTATCTAACATAATAACAAAATTTTAAAATAAAACATTATCATTTATCATTGTTATACTATATTTTCTATAATAATGTGTAATTTAATGAAAAAATATTTTGGGTGCGCCACTCGTCCAGACACGCGAAGTTACTGCATGCGATACATAGTACGGCGTATATCCGTATCTAATAATAATATATTTTATATTTTATATTACATACTATGGGCACTATAAAAAGTTTAGGTAATAATAAGGCCGCCTGCAGTACCATTATGGTAGGTAAGTGTTTGAATTGTGAATGATGAGCGTATATTTCTACAGTTTTCAAAATTGAACACGATAACGTGACGGTAATTGTGCACGTCGACAAATCGACCCTTTAAATAAAAGTTTGCGCATAAGTCTAGTTTAGCGGCTTAGCGCCCACGATTTTTTTTCGGAAACCTATGTACCTATTTCGACGAGTTTAAAACGATGGTGTAAAAACTAAAAATTAATTCAACTGTATTTCACTATATTCAACGTCCCAAAATTACGCCTAAAATTGTTACAAGCTAATATGTGACCAATTGTATTTTAAACATGAATTTTTTTTTCACTTATACTCACACGACCAGCTCAAACTTAAAGGGGCCCACCGAGATTTTCTCGGTAGCTCGACTAACCAATCCGGCCCTGTCGAGTGTCGACTATAAAATATAATGATATTAAACTATTTAAACTTTAAACTATTAAAGTACTAAAGTAGCTTTCACGTCGATCCACAATGTTTGGCTCCCGCCACCACCAGTGACATCAGTGTTGCCAATGACACGGTTCCAGACATAAATCACGGCAATTTCAAAATTTTAGTTTGTACAGCTTGATTTGTGATAGGAGCTACGTCCGCTACGGCGCCAGCTGCTAAATGGACAGACCGACAGAATATGACAGTGTGTACTATTCAGTCTCATTGGGCATTGATTAGTTGAGTTTCCTTAAAAAAAGATTAAGTTGGAATATAGATTATTCGACAATCCACATCATGAATAATGTTGTCGTTTAATTACGTTTATTTTATTTCAAAATAAACATTTACATGTCCGAAAGTATGCCAAATACATGTCCGTTAATACTCAAAATACGCTCTATAGAATAATTAGTCAATAACTTAGATAGGTGAAAATAATTTATTAAGTAAGCGATGGATCACTGTAAAGATTTTATAAAAACCGAATTTCCCTCTATCGATATAGAGATGTTTCAATACATAGAAGGTAATATTATATTAGTAAACTTGTGCATACACAATTTGTCTCAAATATTGTACATATAATTTTATTGTAAACTTGCAGAATTTGTATGCTTTATATACATTTTTATACGTGTATATTGCTTTACGTTTACAGGTGTTCTACAAAATGGAATTGAAGACTTCCATGATTCTGAAGACATATTTGAAGCAATTGGTGAAGTATTACAGGAAATAGCAAATAAGTCCGAATCAGATATCAGGTACAGCATAGGAAAGTCTAATAATCATTGCATTTAAATATTGCGCGTTGAGAATACTTGTGATACTAAATAAATTGTTTTAGAGGAATCTGTTCGAAATTATTACATTTCATGCGTCCTCATTCTAATGACAATGTAATCAGAAATGGCCATACAAAAATTCTGGATGCCCCAGTGCATTTGGCTTCAATGGCAGCAGATCTAGAAGATAACGATATGGAAATCAAAAGTATATGGGTGAATTCAAGGGATGATAGTCTGGTACGTTATAAATTGATATTTTATACCCGTGCCTTAAAAAAGCAAAATATGAGAACTGTTTATTATTTGGTAACCTATTATTAATAATAGTACTTACTTTTTTGTATTGCATTAATTTCATAAGAAAGTGGACAAAAAAAAACTGGAAAAAGCTCAAGCAAAATTGCAACAAAAACAAGATAAACGGACTGAGCAAGTTGTTAAAGGTGTAGGAACTATGAGTGTAGTAAATAGTAAAATGGATGCTGCAACTGCTTCTCAAGTAACGAGTAAAAAGGAAGCAAAACTGGAAGCTAAGGGAAATAATCGAGCCACAGATATAAGGATAGAAAATTTCGACGTTGCATATGGAGAAAGGTATATAAAATTCTATGTTATTTTTAATACATCTAACTTTGCTGTTATTTTTTTTTTTTTTTATAGCATTATAGACCATTTAGGTCCTTTGCTGCAAATATAACATTCTTCCACTCCTCTCTATTATATGCATGTATTAGATCTCCATGCCAATCTGGCCTTAACTCTTGAATATCTCTTTTGACTACGTCCAACCAACGCTGCTTTGGTCTACCGCGAGGTCTTTTTCTGTTCAAATTGTTTACGAGTACCGCATTGACAATACTGTTATCTGCTCTCCAAACGTGACCTGCCCACTCCAGTCTTGTGCCTTTTACAAATTGTACTATATTTACTTTTCCATACCATTGTTGTACCTGTTCTTTGACCTTGTCTCCCACACTTGGGTATCAGGGTTATAAACAGGACCATAGATTTTCCTTAACAGCTTTCTTTCAAAGGTATTAAGTTTATTCTCATCTCCAGCTGTTGTAGCCCAAGTACAGCATGCATAAGTTACAACTGGTCTAAGATATGTAGTATATAGCTTCTCTTTATTTTTCCTAGATAATAATTTTGACCTAAACAGATGGGACATAGTGAAATAGCATCCATTCCCAGCTTTTAGATGGAGTTTTATTTTGTTATGCATACAGTTTCTGTTATTTATGTTGACCCCGAGGTATTTGAAAAAAATAATTGCTGTTATTATAAAATTAAAAAATATTAATTACCAAGTACTACCTATTACATATATTCAATGTAACTTAATTAAATATAGATGACTTTCAATTTTAACATAATTATTTAATCTAAATAATGATTTTTTCAGGATATTACTACAGAATACAGATGTAACTTTAGCATGTGGTAGAAGATACGGTTTAGTTGGAAGAAATGGACTTGGCAAAACTACACTATTAAGAATGATTTCAGGGTGAGATTTATGATTATCTTAACCTAATATGATTTAATGGATATAATTTTAATTTAAAATTCATAGATGCTATGGACTGAGCCCCCCAAACATTTCAAGAGCCACTCCCCAAATATTTCCTAATTTTTTTTAAGCATATTTGACACTAATATATGGCCTAGGCTTCAGCCCCCCCCCCTAATTTAAAATATTTTTTGCACTTAAGACTTTAATTACAATACTTTATATAATTAATTACTCAAGGCTTAACTACGGTTTTTAAGTTAAGAGGACGTCGTACCCGCATGTGTTATCTCTGTCTTACACACATACAACATTGCAAATTTTCGTTCACCATTTTCAACATTGTGCTGATAGTACTGCGTCTATGTTTAAATTTCGGTCATTTCTGCTCAGGAAATGTAATGTATAGAGACATAGTCCTTTACACCCAAATTCACATAACTTTAAATTATTAATCAACCAACCAAAACATTTTGGAATATCCTGTATATCAATAAGATATTATTATTAGTATTTTACTCTAATTCAAAGTGATTAGTGTGTTTAATATTTGTGTTGACTAATTTTTAGTGGTCAGTTGCGAATCCCATCTCATATATCAATACTCCATGTTGAACAAGAAGTTGTTGGTGATGATACACCTGCTTTAGAATCTGTACTGGAGTGTGATTTTGTTCGTCATGGTTTGTTAACTAGAGAAAAAGAAATCAACACATTAATCAATAATGGGTAAAATATTTTTTCACTTTAAATTTTAAAAGAACAAATGTATTTAATATCTGTTATTCTTAGGTCTACGGCTAGTGCTGAATTATCTTCAGAATTAAGTGAAATATATATGCAGTTAAGTGCCATAGAAGCTGATAAAGCCCCTGCTCGTGCAAGTGTCATACTTGATGGTTTGGGTTTCAACCCGGATATGCAAAAAAAAGCTACTAAACATTTTTCTGGAGGATGGCGTATGCGTTTAGCCCTTGCAAGAGCACTTTTTTCAAAGTGAGTATCTTAAAATTATCAAAAATATTAATAGGCAATCTGAGTATTAGACTATTATTATTTATCCCATCTACTATCTACTAATAATTTAGCATTTAAAATGTCTTATAATCGGAACAACTTAAATTTATTTTAAATTTTAATAAAATGAAATTTACAAATTACTTTTGAGTTTCTTCAAATAATACTATTTTTATTTTTTATTTAAATAGGCCAGATTTATTATTACTGGATGAACCTACGAACATGTTGGATATGAAAGCAATTATATGGTTAGAAAATTATTTACAAACTTGGCAAAGTACATTACTAGTAGTATCTCACGATCGTCATTTCTTAGATACTGTACCTACTGACATATTACATCTTCATTCACAAGTAATTCATATTTAGGAGATTCGATACTGTGTTTTTTTTGTCTTTGTTCAACGCGCATCTTAGGATTTTGTTCTTTGCCAAATGTACCAATTGATCTAATAAAGCAATAAAAATTCTAAATACAGATTTGAATTTTTCGTCAAAACTACTTCAGATCAACTTTCCCACATTTTTAATATTATCCCTCAAATTTATAAAAACATATTAAAAAAAGTAATTAAAAAATTGTCATACTTAAATTTTTGGATAAGTTAGAATAAAAAAATTAAAAATGTGGTAAAGTCGATCTCAAGTAGATTTGATGACAAATTCAAATCTGATTTCAGAATTCTTATCAATCACTACATCAATCCTTAAGTTAGGCAAAAAAAATTTAAAATCCTATATCACTTGTGTGTTAGACAAAGACAGAAAATCACGGTTTGAATCTCCTTAAATTCATTGTTTTTTGTCAAAAGTTAATGAAATTGTATATTTAGCGCATTGATACGTACCGAGGTAACTATGAAATTTTTGAGAAAACCAAAAACGAGAAGCTTAAAAATCAACAACGAGAAATTGAAGCGCAAATGGCTCATAGAGCTCATGTTCAAGAGTTTATTGATAGATTTAGGTACAATGCTAACCGTGCTTCCAGTGTCCAGAGTAAAATTAAAATGCTTGAAAAATTGTAAGTCTTATTATTATTGTAGGTATAGGCTTTCATGTAAATAATAAATTAATCATTCATAATATAATATTGCTTTAGACCAGAATTAAAACCTATTGAGAAAGAAGTAGAAGTTGTATTACGATTTCCAGAAACAGAAGGGTTGTCACCTCCCATATTACAACTTGATGATATTTCATTTGCCTATCCTGGTTGTAATAATGTTTTGCAAAATGTTAACCTTGGGGCTACATTAGAATCCAGAATTTGTATTGTAAGTTGAATACCTACTTATTCTATGTATTATTGTATTTACCTTCAATGTTTGCTATATAACCTAATTTATTATGTATATTTAATTTATACTGAATGTCTGTTTGCATAATTTATATTTACTTTGCTGATTAAAAAGACCCCAAATACACAAAATGGTTAATGCTGTTCTACCATAGTTTTAACCCCATTTTCTATGAAGTCATTTTATTTAATATTTAAATAATTTTTAAATTAATCATAATTTTTTATTGTACTTTTAATTAAAATTTTTTATTAGGTGGGTGATAACGGAGCTGGTAAAACAACATTATTGAAAATTATTATGGGCATTTTAAATACAACAGCCGGTGTTAGAAATGTACATCGAAGTTTGAAGTTTGGTTATTTTAGTCAGCACCATGTTGATCAACTGGAAATGAACCTTTCTTCCGTGGAACTATTACAATCTTCATTTCCAGGTTTGCTTACATTTAATTGAAATTAGAAAATGATTATACCTACTCAATTTACAATACCATTTTGTATTAGGTAAAACCATTGAAGAATATAGACGTCAATTAGGAGGTTTTGGTATATCAGGTGATTTGGCATTACAAAGCGTTGGCAGTTTATCTGGAGGTCAGAAATCGAGAGTAGCTTTTGCAAGGATGTGCATGTCTAATCCTAATTTCCTAGTACTTGACGAACCTACCAATCATTTAGATATTGAAACAATTGAAGCTCTAGGCAAAGCTATTCAAAAATATACAGTAAGTTTACAAGTTATCTATTATATTGTGATTAATTAAATATTTATTGTTTTTATATTGTATCTTAAGACACTGTATTTTAATTTTTCTCTAATCCAGCAATGCTATAATTAAACACATTGAATAGTCTAACCCTCTGGAGATCTGGAGTTGATAATTATATTGAGTTCTCGTGAAACTTGTTTTACCGATTACACTGTAAACCGTTAAAGAATGTATAAAACAAGCCGTTATTCAAACAGCAGTAGGCTGATCAATCCAACTATTATGAATATTATAGACCTAATTTTAAAGTATCTATAAAAATCCCCTTTTTTATTTTCCAATTACAGAAATATTGATCAATGTCCTTAAGGGTGTCATTTATTAAGAAGTAAAATGTAGGCAATTAATTCACATGTTGTATTTGCCTTACTCGGAATGTGCATGTGTGTGAGGATATAAATCGATATTAGTGTGAGTGAGGTATAATTACAAGCTCTAATAAAAATATGTACGCACGCGCATGCACAAGTCAGTTCTAGACTTCGACGACTATTATCGAAGCACTATTTTGATGAACAAAAATGGTTTCACAGGAAAAACTCTCATACCTCGTAGATATGTCGGATTTTGGTTTTTTTTTTTATCTGAAAGATGAGAAGTTTCTGCAGGTCGGATCAAAGCTCAAATTTTTATTTTACTTTAAATAGTAGTAGAAAAATACGTTTGAAAAAGGACAAATATTGTGCATTTTTCAAATGCATATTCCAACTTCTTCAATTATAATTTTCAAAATCGTGCTTTGATCCGACCAACAAAATATTCTCTACTTTTAGATAAAAAAAAAAAATTAACGAAATCTGACAATTCTACAGGGCGTGATGGTTTTTCCTGTAACACATGTTTATGTACCAAAAAACGCACCAGCTTCGACCCCCTTTACGACCAAATCATAATTTTGTTGACTATAGGTTACATTTGTTAACCTAAACCTGTGCAATGTACCCAATACAATTTATGCATCATTACTTAAAATTAGGATATTTAAACGCAAATGCATACATTTTCCATTTAGTAAACTAGTAAATTGAATACGGATAGGGTCTTAATTGGTAAAAACAAATTTTTATATTATCCATAATCACAAAATAATTTAAATAAAGTTAATAATTTATTTCAATTACTTACCCTGGTAGCATAATTGTTAAAATATTAATTACATTGTATTAGCTTATAGACAAATAAATTGATTAATCTTAAAAATTCTTTTTTTAGGGCGGTTTAATACTTGTATCTCACGACGAACGCTTAATACGTATGGTTTGTAAAGAACTATGGGTTTGCGGTGGTGGAAGTGTCAAGAGCATTGAAGGTGGCTTTAATGAGTACAGAACCATTGTAGAACGTGAACTTGCAGAAGCAGCCAAATAGACACCACTGACCATTGTCTATCTAAAATAATCATTTTTATATATATTATTCACTTGATTCCTTGTTGGCATTTATTGGAACTTTACAGCAAGTGTATGTACATTGGTCTGTTGTTATAAATATTGTAATTTAACAATTTTCATAACAATGTGTGAGTGTGAATTTTATATTTATATGTAAAATTGTATGACGACATGTTGTCAGGCATTATCAATTCACATGTATAATATATATACACAAATGTTTCTTTTTTACTTGATTATTATTGTTTGGTTTGTTAACCATTCTTTAATAAACCTAATAAAACTTATAAAATGTTTTTATTTCTTTTGAATAATTTTTAACCACATTCTGGTTAAAGTGGTTGACATGATATTAGTAGCATTTATTTTAATGAGTTTGTTATAACTTATAACATTATATAATATTATTTTCTCATATGCCAAACATTGAACGATTGAAAATTACTTGTTTTATATTATTCTAACAATTCATACCTACCCTAAGTTCTTAAATTGTAAGTAGTGTCGATGGGCGCTCTTTTCCCTCACACTTGTCACGTCTAGACTTCATATTGTCATCCAGAAATTTGGGATGTAAAAATAGAAAATTCTCAGTACTTTTCTTAATAATCTGGAAAAACAAACAAAAAATGAAGGTGAAATACGTATTTTACATAAAACTAGTTTTTGACAAAATTGATATTGTGTTTTGGTGTAACTCAAAAATGAATAATCGTAGACATAAAAGATACTTGAAATTTTCACAAATTGTCTTTACTAGCAATTCATATGTACATGATACAATTTTTAGATTGTTATTTTACGGTTTTTAAGCTGTTTTGGACGTTTGACATTTTTGATTTTAGATTCTGAACATAGCGATGACTATTGATTTTACCATGATGTATGTTTTTTTCAATTTTTATTTTTTGTGCCTGTGTACATGATAAGTAGTCGAAATAATGCTTTGATTTTCAACTTCAATGAGAAAGTGAATCTAGTTGGTGCATATTTGTATATTTTGGTCCTCGTCGATTTCCGTATTATCTTCATAATCGGAGATGAAGTTTTTATAACATTTTTGGTGCATTTACTGTAAAGATTTCCGAAACATGAGGTACCTCGTACCTACCATAATAATTATAATTACTAAATCGTAAATTGAATTGATTATATACTTTAGAAAGTGCATTTTATATGCTATACTTTGAATATATTTAAGGCAAATATGATTAAACTGTATGTGCTGGTAAATAATTAAAAAGTTGAAGAAATATCTGTGGGGCAAAATAACATTTTGTTGTTAATTTTGAATTTTGACTGAATCAAAGTTATTAAATATTAACTCATTTGAATTTGCAGTTTAATCATTATTTATTTAAATAATAATTTTTATTATGTTGTGAATTTCAAATTCCATAGGAAGTGGCTATTTCAGCGTCCGACGCGTATTTACCTATTTTCGCGTCCTATGCTGTGATTGGTCCAAATATTGATAAGATCTTATCATTACGAAATACCAAAATTATATGTATATGTATATTACAAATAATGTAAATCAGTCATTCTTATATTATTATTTATTAATATTTAAAAGCAAAATGTATAAAATTCTATAAATCACAGAGTATAAAGTAAGTATTTTTAAATACAGTCATAATATTAGTTCTAGATAATATATCAATATATTATCAATCGTAAGTAAGCAAAATGTATAAAATTCTATAAATCACAGAGTATAAAGTAAGTATTTTTAAATACAGTCATAATATTAGTTCTAGATAATATATCAATATATTATCAATCGTAAGTTTCTTTACAGATTCTGCAAAACCATATTTTTTTTTTTAATGTTGTTTTAACATTAACACATTTAAAATGGAACCACTCTAGACATCTATTGCAACAAATCGAATTGTTCGATGAATCCTCATTGCAACATTTGCATATCCATGTTGGATTTATTCGCTTTATATCCACAACTTGTTTTAGAGCAGCCCAGCCGTCGTTGTCAAAATACCTTTTGATATCATCAATCGCAAGGTTACTGTCTAAAACAGCACAATGTATATTATTTGGATTATTCTCAATTGCCGTTTCACTTATAAATCCATTTCCAGATACCGCAATACTGGCCACATCCTTATCCACAAACCATATTAACATTTCAAAATGTCTCGTCAAAACATCAAGTTTTTCAAAAGGAACTAAACCTGAAACCTTTTTTCGTTTTGCGATACCAATAGCAGTTTTGTCTTTACCTAAAATATAAAGTATGAAAATAAATTTCATCAACGATAATCATTTGAAAATATATGGAATATACAATCACCTTTTGGACGTCCTCTTTTTGGAACTCTTGGAGGTAAAGTTGGTAATTGACTAACTATTGAAATATTATCTATATCTATGTTGTCTGTTTCCTCTTCATTCATGTGTAATATAGTGTCATCCATCTGTATTATATTGTCATCCATCTGTATTATATTGTCATCCATCTGTATTAAATTGTCATCCATCTGTATTAAATTGTCATCCATCTGTCATCCAGTGCATATTAAATAATAATTCATCTGAAATTTAAATTAAGGCGGTAAAAATCAGATGATAAAAATGATAAGATCTTATCAATATTTGGACCAATCACAGCATAGGACGCGAAAATAGGTAAATACGCGTCGGACGCTGAAATAGCCACTTCCAATTCCATATTGTGCATACAATTTATATAAAATAAAATTCATTAATTAATACCTCAAATATAATTTATATTTATAATAATATTCATTAATTAATACCTCAAATATAATTTATATTTATAATAATATTCATTCATTTACTTTGAGTAATTTATTATAATATGTTTAATATTAGCATAGATTAATTAATATACTTCATATTTATTCTATATTTCTTTGCTTTTTCCCCAGTCCCCAAGTATATTGGTGAAATGACGAATTCAGAATATTTTTTTGAAAAATGTATAAGTAAAAAAGAATATACCCTTATATTATTATACATTAAAGCTTGCAATTATTATAAGTGATTCTTGGTACCTACATATTTAAGATTAAGACAATACTTATAGCCTATAGGTACAAAGTTTCAAGATTTTCGGTATATTATTTAATAATCTAAATATTGATAAATCCTTAGGTTCGTCAACTTACCTCACTCTTCCCTAACCGAATAATGATTTTGTTGTAATTTAAAAACATTATTCGTGGGTACTTAAGAAACTTCTCGAGTATATTATTACAAGATTACATATACAAACGATATCAATTCAACTAATAACAACAATAATAACAATTAATTTATTGAAACTTAATATATTTGTTCACTATTTACCTTATACCTATGATGGCGGCCGGGATGCGGATCGCTGTTTCTTGAAATCGTGAAATTGATATTTGATGTACCAAGATTGCTTAGGCGGCCGTCGGAAACTGCACGACAAATTAGATCTAATTTGTCATGGGAAACTCCGTAATCAATACGGGCGTATATTATTATATGCGTAGCACGGCGCAAAATACGAAAAACCGATAACTACCAAGCGTGTATGGAGGATCAACAAGCCTTTGGAGACGGCGCAATATCGCCATTTGAAACCGATGTCCTAATCGAGTAATTGACGAGTATTGTATGACGTATTGACTTCTTCCATTTGTATTTTATAATATCTGTACAACTCGACTTTGCCCGTGAAAAAAATAATCAAATATATAATACAGAGCTATACAAATAGGCGTATCTCGCTTTGTGGACTAATTCTACCGAGGTGGGCACCCAATACTCACCCGTTGTTGCATGTAACACTTGGTATATTTTTTACGTGGTTCAGACTACTCTTTAAACTATACTCATATCTCTATAAGGACATTCTCTCAAATTTTAGTCAAAATCTATCGAGTAGTTTTTGATAAAACAATAAATTAAATAATAAATTTTATTTTAATTAAAAATATAATTCGTAGCAACAAATTGCGGGTCGGCTAATGAATACCATTTTTTTAAAAATATTTTTTATACCGGTATCATTTTTCTGACCCACCTCATAAGCTGGGTCAAAACAGTTGTACCGGTTTAAATGTGTAATCCCCTCATTTCTTAATTTTTCTTAACGTTATCTGTTATCAGTTTATCTAATCAAGTGATAACTAAAATTAAATACAGAGGGGATATTATTAATATTTATAATTTTGTGCATAGAAATGTCTTGTTATACCGGTATCAGGTATACACCGATTTGGTAGATCGGTATAAACTAAAAGATACCGGTGTTATTATTTTTGTGTACCGGAATAAATTAACGAATTTCTAGTTTGATTTATGAATTATGTGACTAGAGCATGAGTGCAGACAAGTAATGTGTTATAAGTACCTAATGGATATTGTGATAATGTGATATGATTAATTTGGAATTTATTATAGGTCAATTTTTTTGTTAATACCATAGATAATATGTATATTATAATTTGTCTTAAACCTAGACTGACATACCGTCTTCGCTCAGAATCGTTTTTCTTATACAATGATATTATATCATTGAATTCAAATTTAATAGCATCCATTATACAGTGACCCACTTGTAACCTACTGTACAGCAGAGCAACATCCACTTACCCACCTTTTTTTTAATATACCTGATTTCGTGTAATTATAAAAATAATTTTTTAAAACTTATACTTTTTTTTATTTGTATGATTGGAGGTTTTCCTGGGAGAAATACCGTGTCGTGTATAGTTGACTATATATTCAATTTGTATATAGGTATAATACGTGTTACGATTTTTTTCAATTTTATTCAATATACCTCCTATATGACACAAATTCACAAACATGGCAAGACACGGTGTAGTGGATATCTGGATTTATCAATGGGATATATCGTTATAGATCTAAATTCTAAGTAGGTATCTGACCGATATTAATATTTTGCAGATTTACTCGTGTGAAATAAGTTTAATCTCTTCATAAAAAAATCTATAAAATTAGTTTTGTGTTGATTTGAATTCGCAGGTCTGCAGGCCATTGCTAGAGTGTCAATGGCCATTGACAAAACACGTAAACACGCCTCTGTGAGATGTACACATGAATTTCATCAATGTGCATATTGTTCACTGCCCTCCGCAATATGCAGGCTCCTCGACCCTCGTAAGCACGACAGCCTCTATACATACAATCGTTATTTAAGATTTATTGTTGAAGTTGTGAATAATGTTGCAATGAGTATTATATATATATTATATATCTATAAAGTCCATATAAAAGTCTAAATAGTAACAATTAAATAGTCGCGTGATAGTTAAGTCAGCTTAAATTCTGTAAAAAATCGTCCCCAAACCGAAGTTTCGGCGGAAAGTGCCCCCACCCACTGTACTTGTTTTTTTCTCACTTATATATGACACTGAATCTATATTTTGACAAATTTAAATTAAATTAAAATGTTTATAACATTTTCATCTGTGTAATACTAAACTATAATATAATCGTAATGTAAATCAAAAAAACTCTAAGCAGAGTAGGTACTAGGTATATCGTATAAGCACGACTTTGAAACGGGCCTAAGAACTCCCTGAACTCGCCCACCCAGGGCCGTCCTTAGGCCTAGGGAAAAAACCAATTTTACCACTTTTTTCAAACGTGAGACCCCCCAATGTAAGCAAAAAACACGAGGCCCAGGGCCTGGGCCCTGCTTACCCCCCCTTAAGGACTGCCCTATGCCCACCCGTGAGACGGCGGTGGGCCACATTGCGAGTGAACCAAAATATTATAATGTTTGATGTCGAAACTCTATTGCATATTTCCTCATGACCAGGACGTGGTATCGGGTGGCAAGATGAACACTTATTCTGTGATGAGCTCGTATGAAAAATAATTTATTATTGTTTGAACTACAATAATATATAGGTACCTATACCCGATTATAGGTCCCGAGCATTTAATACGTATAATAATGTTTATCTTTTAAACAAGAATTTTTTCTAATACGTTATTAAATATTCTTTTGTTGTCTATTATATTTTAAAATACGTGTGTGATCAAATCTGAGGCCTCGTCGGTGTAAAAATTATAATTATGACTTCAGTCATATTAAAAACACAGCATTCACACTAGATTTTATATTATTTTTAGTTATTATTTATTATACTTATCACTATTTACTACCTAACAAATAACAATTATATATAGGTATCTATGTTATAATATGTATTCAGTACGGGCTGGTAATTTATTATGATATAGCCGCAAAGCCTTCTAATGTCCAATATAATGGACAATTATTATAAATACATCATCTGCAGTGGTTAGCGCCAGAGTTAATTTTTACTTTTGTATTGTTAGTTGTTCCATGTCTTTTGCAGACTGCAGTAGATGTTTTTTTTATCCCAAATAAACTAAAACAAGACCCATATCACCTAAGAATTTGGGAAACATGTACGTTTCCCCTCCAATCACAAGTGTTTGATAGGTTTATTTTTATCAGATACCATATTCCGGCATTACTTATATGAAAATGTTTATTGAAATAGACACTGTTAATGTTTAAAAAAACAAATGTCTATTTTAATGGACAACACTACAAAGGTAAAAATTAACACTATTGCAGTTAGAATATAATCGCGCCTACCCCCTTCCCCCAGAAATGTATAAAAGTAGAACAAGAGTTTTTATATTTTGAACGCAAACATGGTAAGTGTCCGCAGTAACCATGTTAAAAAGAATGTTGGATCCCCCACAGCCTCAACAGAAATTTTTGTTCAGTTAACTAATACGGCCTTTACCGTATTAATGTTTGTATTACCAAATTAGTTCGGCCTCAGGAGGATGGCCGTTAGAATATTTACATTATAATTTATAAGTCATAATCAATATTTTATTGCATGACGTAGGTACTAAGTATTTACACGTATTTCGTAATTACTCTTATCAATATAATACATTTTTGTTCAGTTATTGTATACCTATCCAATTTGTAATTACTGTTATCAATACAATTCATTTTAGTTCAGTTATTATATACCTATCCAATATATATATAATGATCTTGTCAAAATGTACGATACTCCGCTAGTAAGTTCTGCAAGAATTTACTTAATTTAATAATAATAACACGTGAATAAATATAATTTTAAAATAAGAACTTAAGTCTCACGATGGCTAAACGTATTACCTATTATATGGCTATATCATATCTATATCTTTGCCTGTTTGTCCTCTATATAAACTCAAAACCTACTGGACCGTTTACAATAAAAGTTATACCAATATAGATTCCTCGAGACTATAGGAGGGTGTTAATAGCTTACTTGTTCATCTCCTGTGGGATGCTTTATAGGGGTAGCAAACTCCCGCATTTAGTTCACAAAAATCGAATAATATTGTTCGTTTATTTAAATGGTCGCTATTGGTTACAGATTATATTATTATTGTAATTATCCAGTAGAAATATAGTACCTACGACCTACCTATATAAAAATGAAAATGAAATACTTACAAACACAATTTCAACGACTCACTACTTTTATTTTTTGCTTTCAATGATGATTGCTGGACATAATGTCATTAAGACGAATACCTATACCAATATTAACGAAAACTAAAACTGAAAACGATAGAAAAATAGATTAATTTTAATCCGGGTGAAGTCGGATATACAGCTATAGTATTTAACAAAAGACTACCTACTAGTTTATTTCGGTCGGTTCTTATTTTCAAATTATTCACTCACATATGTTATTATTCTAATATATTATTACATGTATAATATAAACTCTCAATTAATTGATTTACAAAATACTATGTATAAGATTCAACTTCTGCAGAAGTGGCCTGCAGTTGGTGAGGTGACTTAGTACCTAAGTATACCGTATACTTCTTATACTCGAAAGAAAATAAACGAAGAAACGTATACATCGCAAATAATAATAATAGTTACGACTACGGCAAGTATACTCGTGTGTAAATGCCTCCACCCCGTGATCTAAATCAGATTAGATTTACCGTCCCCGCGATCGAAATTCTAGCGCCGGCTATAATTACTGTTGGATGATATTAATAGACATCTTGTGTCGTGTAATACGATCATTTAAATGTCTACGTTTCGGATATGTACGCAGACAGCAGAAGTCGACAAAACCTGCATCGCTTCCGATTAAAACAAGAGCAGTGTGCAGTGGCGTCATTTCAGTTTTTATTAGACTAGGGCAATTTTTCACTGCTTTTCCGACTCAAAATTTTTTTTCACTCAGATTCTCATAGCATAGTGCCATAGAGGTAACGGGGGAGGGGGGTGTGTGGTAAATGTGACTACTTAAGGTTGATGTAAATACTAGAATAGGGAAAATGCCCCAGTTGCCCTCCCCCAAATAACGCCACTGGCAGTGCGTCATAATATTATTATTATTTCGTAAGTGTGGCGTATTATATTATAGTTGCGTGTAGATCCATCACAAAGACAGTTTATATTATTATTTATTAGGTTTATTCACTGTAGGAGCACAAAAAAATCACGTACGAGTAATAAGCAACAATATGGCGCGTATATATTATGGCCATGTGGGCAAGGAGCTGATGAGACACCATCGTCAATATTATAATAATCCCAATGAATTTTATGACGATATTATACGCCTATTTAGTACCTATACGCAGATATTACAATGATTACTGATTAAATAATATACTTATTATATTACAATTATCCTGTGAATGTGCACAGTGCTTGAATCGATAAAATTAAAAAAACGATGATTGTTAGATTTGGAAAAGCCTATCGTCCTTATTGAAATGATTTAACTCAAACTATTATACTTGTGAGAGAAAATGTCCCACAGACTACAGCTGCTACATACCCGGCCATCAATTTTGCAACAATTAATTACAATATAAAAATATACCAATAACGACTTAAGAGCGATTAAAATTAATATTTTAGAACGAAAGAAATTTAATATATCATGTTTAATTACAATCGAATTATATCCCATACAGTTGTAATGTGTACTATCATAATAATAAGTTGTATAATTCATAAAATTTAATTTTAATATCATATTCAATACGATTTTAAGAAATAAGATTATAAAAAAAAAATTATAGTGTAAAAATATTTTATAATAAGACCTCCTGTTTTGGTGAAAATAATTAGTATCAAATTAGAGGCTCTCACGTGATTTAAAAAAAAAAATAAAAGAGGTGCTACATTCATTTGAAAAAAACTCACCCCCCCCCCCCCAAAAAAAAAAATAGACACTGACATCAAGTCTGTATAATATAATAATCTCGAGCTTGAGGCTTCCAAACTTTTTTCCTCGGAAGCCATAAAAAAAATTAAAAAACGAAATACTCTTTGTCGGGTCAATATATATATATAGCTAAGTAATCACTAATCACATTTACAGTTTCATTATGTTTCATAGAAATACAATGAACACAATTATTATAAATATATTTAGGTGCAAGTTTTTACGATTGTTACGTGACGTACCTAGTGTTTCTTTCCCATACTTAAAGTAATATGTGTATATAGTTATGTCTTATGATTAAAATGTAGAGCTATACGAATAATTACGATATGTACTTTATACTTATGTAGAAACTATAGCGTGATCTCTAAAAGTTACTAGGAAATAACTTGTGAGTTGTGAACTAGTGACCCTATGATGATAATATACGAGGAAAAAACTATCCAAAAGTTGCTAAAAAATTATAATATTTTCGGCAACCGCCGTTCTCGCTGAAAACCATAATATCGACGACGATTTCAGATAGATTGGATTGAAACAAATTTTTATCAATAACCACTATTACAGAATAAATTATAATATAGGTAGCTGCACAATCAAAAATGTAATTAAATATTTAAATAGTCGATTGCCAATCCCAAACGCAATTAAAGAATATTTAAAGTCGATTGCCAATCTCAAACGTATTTGTTCGAAAACTGCGATTCAACTAAGAAATCCTCGCATTAATTACTATTAGTAAATAGTAATACTATTAATACTGTTTAAAAAACTATTTTGTACACGCCACGCACGTCACGATGAACTGTTGTCGATGATAGATTACGTCCGATATTAGTATATTAAACTGTGTGTACTTATACAGTATTACAATATACATGTACACGCTTATCTATTGCATGCAATTAAAAGTAAAATTATTGTTTAAAAGGTCATAATATTATTGTTTAATAATAAGTGATTGTACTTACCTGTTTGGTCGATGAGTCATTTACTCATTAATAATTCGTTTTCGATATTATCATAATAATTGTTATCTATTTGCATTAAATAGAGACGAATGACGACAGAAGAGAAGTTATAATAATAATAATAATAATAATACGCGTGTACCTATAATAATACCGAATATAATATGATAATATTATTATGCCAAATGTGACCGTTACAATTTTTTTTCAATCTAGATAGTTTTATTGTAACAAGTACCTATATTATAATTGAGTTGCTAATGACCGGTGAAGAAAATAAATGCCCAAACAATATAATAACCACACACACGGTATATGTTGTACAATAGACCATAGACAAGAGAGATAGGTACTTATACGAGTAAGACGATGCTAAGCCAAACGGCGAACCGATGTCGTGTTTACTCTAAAATATTATTATTATTATTTAATACGATTTGAGTACATTTCGATGCCTATACACTCGTTGTCCAGGCGTTTTGGCCTTCGTAAAGTTTCTGAGCAATTATTTTTCATGCTACACAAATTTTTTTTAGTATAATATTACATTTGTATACATCGTTAGTAAAACATTGATTAATGATAACAATGTATTACGCATTCGATGTGCCGAGTTTATCTGTACGCATACAATATATATGGGTAGATATAATAATTATTATAATACAAAACGAATACGGACTAGGATTTCATATTATTAGGAAGGGACTTCAATAGAAAAGATAAAAACTATTAGGCGCAAATGTAATCTTATCTCTTCTTCTTTATTAATGTAATAAAATAATTTTAAAAAACCAGAGGACATAATTATAATAAACATAATAAAAATAATAATAATCATAATAATAATAATAATAATAAATAAATATTAATAATAATATTATTAAACAACAGTAGTATGTTTTTTTAATTATGTCTAATAGTGTGTTGAAAAAAAAAAATAAAAATGTTGATCTAATCGTCATATTAAATGACAACAAGATAACCATTATAAATATTATTACAATAATAATGTTAGTCGTAATAAAAAAAGTAAATAGTTAAGTAGCTATAGCCTCAAAAAAATAATAATTTAACTTACTCTTACAAACTTAGGTATAATCTAAAATGTGAAAAATTAAAATATAAAAATACTGTGATATAAAGTCTAAAGGATGAAACCTCTTACATGGGTTAAAATATGATCTTCCCTAATGGCTAATGCCCTTTAATTTGTACGAAAAAATATAATAATATTGAAAAATACATAAATATAATTATTGTATAAGAATAAATGATTTCAACCGAAGAGGTTTGATATAAATTACTAATGATTTTACTTTTTTTAAGTATATTATATAGGTATAAGTACCTAAATAAAAATAAATTACGAAAAAGCTTTAATAGCGTAAAAAAATATTTCTTCTTCTTAACTCCTCTTAAGACTAATTAGAAAAAAATAGTAAAAAAATATGATTTCCGGAACATGAGTAGATTTGGTATTAGGAATAAACTAGTATAAATTCACTTGTCCAGTGGCGGAAGAAGCGGCGCCAGTGGTGTGGTGTTGGCCACCGCTTCGTCGCTGTGGACATATCCCTCGCTCAAATCTCAGATGGTCGTCGGTATGATCTCCGTAGTAGTCAACGGTCTGGGCTTGCAGCGGTACACGTACGCGTTCACTGACAGGTCGTCGTCCGTCTTCAAGCACGCCAAGTTCGGGTTGCAAATGCATCTGTAATCAAGCAAAAGTGCGTATTTAAAACGACTGTCTCGTTATTTCACTATATTATGATTATAGTGCTTCGAGGTGGCGGGACTCACGTGTTTTTCATGAAATAATCGATACGGCGAGTGAACGGCACGTATATGGCCCATCCGCACGGGTTGTTTTGGTGGCACTCTTTCAACGGTCCTGTGGTACTTTCGGTAGCTGAAGCGATAGCCCTCTGGAAAAACAAAAAAAAATACGTTAACCGAAAATTCTGTGATACGTACGTCGGCGTTGTATCGATTTCGGAGGAAAACCGACGGGCGAAAATACAACATTATTATGACGGCATAAAATAAATAACGACTTACCTTGTTCTTGATTACGGATGCGCAGCTATCAGCGGCCAGCAGCCAGAAACATAACATCAGGAAAAAAACGGAGGCGAGCCTTTTGTCGTTCCTGGAAGCCTTGCTGGGTCGGCCGATGATCGCTTTCATTTTCGGGGCCTCCTGAGTCGTCGTGTTATTTCTGAACATCTTGATGGTTTCGACTGATCCCACAGTCATGTTGTACGGAGTGCAAGTGAAAAATTGAAACGAAAACGGACCAGAATATGGTTTGAAAAAAAATCGAATTCGAAACGATGAAGGCACCGCAAAAAACGATTGAGTTCCAAGAGACGAGAAGACTTCCGGAGAGGAGCCGATTGTTATAATCGTGTGCAGGTATAAGAATGAACGGACAACGTACGTGTAACGCGAGGTCGGTGTGTGCAGACTGTTTCAAATCGAGGCGGGATAATGGGTTATATAGAGGGTCGGCTCTGTGGGAGGGGGGGCCGCCGTTCAATGGAGAGATCCGCCGCCGCCGTCGTCGTCGATCTAGTATACAAGGTGTAGTACGGTTGCCGCCAACACCACCACCACCGCCACTACTACCACCATCACCACCACCATCCACCACCACCATCACCACCACTACGTCAACCAATAGTCTCCGCCGCCGCCGATAATGTATAATATTATGATTTATAATATATTTTAATAATAGGTACGTGCGTTTCAAATCGTTCCTCTAATTATATTATTATTATTATTTTTTTTTTCTCAACCGTCGCCGATGATTCATTATAGAAATTCCAGAACAACTTTCATTCGTCTGATATTATATTATGATTATAGCTGATAATAATATTATGTAAAGAACGTCGAACGCGACCGGTCATTTTAGGTCTAGGTCTAGGTCTCTCTCTCTCTCTCTCTCTCTCTGTATTCTATATTATAATAATATTCACTACTGCTGCAGTCTGCAGATGTCCGAACGTCAATCACGCGGGCTCGCGCGCGGGTTTTTTTACTATTCTCATTAATTATTTTCCTGCACGTTTTTCATTGCCAAATGTTCAGCGACATTTAAACGTTATTAGTTTTTTTTTGTAACACTACACAATACTGTATCATATACGTTTTTCCCGCGTCGAACAGCTTGCGCACACATTATAATATAATAACATAATCAGAGTCGATGACAAACCAGTTGGCGTATTACCTAACTCGCGTGCATTGGGTAAATTCTACTATAATGACTGAATCACGGTATAGTGTTAATACGGTAGTACCTAAATAGTATCAGCTATAATATAGTAGGTACAGCCAATACATCTATATAATATCTACAGCATAGAATTGGTAGCTGTCGGTCATCACAACTGTATGAGTAGTACAGTCGTGAACTGTTAATGTGCATACAGCCATACAGGACAATATTATTCGAATGATATCCGGACGCGAAAAATCATACGAGTTACGCCTAAGAGCCGTTCTAATTCTAAACTTCTTACAATGTCCGGTAAAGTGTCGGTTAACGCTAACCAACTGATAACAGATTTTATTACCGGCAGAATCTGGCCGTTTAGGTTAACTTTAACCGGACATTGTAAGTACGGCCCTTAGTAACCTGTACGTATTATATCACATAATGTTGTGTAGGTATATTAAACACGGGAAATGCAAATATCCGGACGGTTATATCAACCGTATAGGTAGTTACCTACACATTATAATATCATATTATTACCTACACATTATTATTGCGTACACTGAACACACTTGCCGAATATTACGTGGTGGACCGTATCGATTTGTAATAATCTATAATGATCTAGCCGAATTCGGCCGTAACGTACTATATAGGTAAGTCATTGATTAAGTACATAGGTACCGAGATAGATAACATGCTAAACGTATGTGATCTATCTCAAAGCATACATACAGTATTAAATAAATAATTGTAAACACCGTTTTAATGAGTATTTTATATATCATGTCTAAATAATATTATTATACATACCTATAACACAGTGTAATGCAAAATTATCTTTCAAAGTTTCAAATAGTCTTAATTTATTATAGACATACGGTTGCACGACGAATGACGATATTATGGTCATTTTGTATAACCGTCGTATAATATTATAACAAGGTAGATAACAATATGATATAATAAATTAGATTAGTTGGTATAGGTACCTAAAACAGTATACATAACTAGTGTACTATACCTATACACTACCTATATATCACTTGATATAATGTAAAATATACAATCATTTATAAAATAATTTTCTAACGATGGGTGACTAACTATATATAGGTAGTAACCAAATTCTATTAAAAACAATTTAAATGAAAAATATGTTTTGCTTAAAATTCATAACATGTACATATTATAATAATTTAGTGGTTACTGCTCATATTAAATATAATTCTGAATTAATTCTTTTAATATTATTATAAATTGGAAATTAAGTTTTATAACATGATACATTGATACTGTGAAATATCTATGGGTACCTAGTTATCTAACATAACAACAAATCGGAATAGATATTATACAGTATATGTATAGGTACAGGTGCTAGGTACTTATAATTAGCATTATAATAATGAATTAATAGTATCAATATGACATTTTAAAATCAGTTGTAAAACATAATCCCTAAAAACACTTTTAAGTATTTTTATTAGAAAAATATTATGCAATATTGCAATCTGGATGCATTAGTTTTCTTGCAATAACAAAATTACGAATAGGTACCTATGTATTTTAGATTCTGAGCGGAGCGATGAATGTATTGATTTTACAATGATTTATGTTTTTTTTTTAATTTTTAAATATTTTTGTACACGATAAGTAGTCGAAATAATGCTTCGATTTTCAACTACAGTATTTTGTTCGATGACAAAGGGAATGTAGTTGGTGCCGTGGGGAGGTCAACACTTTAACAAAAAAAAATTAGAAGTGTACATATGAGTAAGTAACAAAATATAATAATTGTCATTAAACCGAGTTTTTCAGATTATCATAATGTAAGGATTAATAGCTATATAGCTGTAAGGACATCGTATAAGGTTAATGGGAAATTCGTAATCGAATAGACGGAAGAACAATTTTAAAGAAAACGAATATAGGTAGTTACAAAAATATATGCATTTTAAGAGTTTGTAATCATAATATTATATTGTTTTGGTAAATACTTTTAAAAATATACATTTAAATAAACGAGTGATAGTATCTAACGTGATTTAAATATTTTTAAAATCAAATTAGTTAGTTTTTAAAATTGAATTTCTAGTATTTTACGCCTACATAATATTATTTTAAATTATTTCCTTGTGCTTATACCACAGCAACATAACTCATATACCTATTACTAATATTTATTCATATATTCATGCAGATCAAACGAACACGAAATTAATTATTAAAAGACAGAATAGTAAAAACCAAATCATATAATGTTATATCGTTGCTACTTTACCACTTACCGACTATTATTATAATGTCTATTAGAGGCTAGAGCCGTGCCAAGACATTCGGAGGACGTGCCACCCGTCACGGATCGTAGTCGGCAACATTTTTCTCCACTATAGTAAAAGAACTCTTAGTAAATCGAAACGATTTAATAATGAAAAAAAAAACTTGTAAATTTCTTCACTTCATATATTATTGATTTATGATGTATAGGTACATATTATTGTCAATGTTAATCAACGTGCTATAGTAGGTATTTATATAGTTATATACTTATATATAAGTATTCTCTAAAAAAAAAAACAATCGTCATTCAATATTTCAATAAATAATGTATTTATTTTTGAAAGCTGTTTTAAGCCCTACTCAGTACTCATACAGTTAATATTATTTACTAAACAAATATATAATATACATTTACAAGTATATAGTATCGCATATAGTATTGGGTGTAACACTTCAGTAATATATTATGTAAATTGCCTATACCAAGGTAGCAACTGCTGATGAATTTGTATTTTCATTTAATTTTCTCAGTTGACCGCCTAAAGAAAATGGGTTAATGGTTGAGCGATTTTCTTGCAATTTAGATTTATTTTACCGTGAAAAAATTCTATTTTTTTAAATATGCTTTTTTCTACACTTATAACATAAATCTGAATAATAATTATTAATTATCTTTAAATGTCCCTATCTAGAAAAAATAAATCGTTTCATAAAACAAAATTTACATATACCTACTATATATTGTAGTACCTATATGTACCTGGTTTAGGTATAAATCGGTAAGTGCCTATAATACATATATAATGCACATCATGAGTTATGACTAACACGTGCGTTTCATCATGTCGTTTCACGTGTAAATTAAACTTGAAACCGGTAATATTATGTATATTATGTAGGTCTCGGCTGCCTCTCATTTGCATTATTATCTATTTTTTTCCCACGTATAAAAATTACTTAATTAATAAATAGGTAGGTATATGAAATATAATTTATACTAGTTTCATGAAATCAATGTGATTATAATTCGGGTGACCATCATATTACCATATTAATAATATCATATATATGTACTGACACTTAAATTATAGGTTTTTGTTGTAGGTTATTCGTAATATCCTATACAAAATTGTGATAACATCGAACTAATAATATTTGCTTGAGTTGGCACAACATAATATTCAGCATGCAGTGGTGAGGCACAGCCTACAATATGGAAGTTGATAGATAAAATGCGTAGATGAATAAATGTTAATACGGCGAAAATAGAATTGGACAAATTTGTGGAAAATCTAAAGCAAAAAGAAAATGGGTTGAAGATTAACTGCAGATTTTACGAAATATCTGACATTGCAGTATAAGGAAAAAAAGTAAGGATAATTGTATACCTAATAGTAGTAATGCTAGATGTGATGTAACAATAATAATTAGGTAAATGTATAATTTGTAATGGTTATGAACTTATGACTTATGAGTAAAATATATTTTGTTTTAAATAATTGGACCTATATAATAGGCTATAACAGTATAACAACCTGGATACCGGATACGAAATAATAATAATAGCAAATAATAAAATATATTATTTGTTTCCCTGACTTAAATTGGGTTGTTTTACCGAACCATTTTCTTTGGTCTCTCCCCCCCCCCCTGTTTTTTAGGTATAGTTGCATAATATAGTTTTATATAAACAATTATTCTATAATTGTACTTACTGATTAAAATTTTTAGGTAGGTTTATTCATCT